CTTGTGCGTGTTCATGACTTAATGATAACTCAGCTTAGGATAGTTATGTGAATAACTGTTTGTTTTTTCACCAACTTGCCCCTTACACCGGTTTTTTGTTGACCAAATGCTGATAAAATTATTGTTTTTGAAATTGCTGTGAATGTCTTTTCTAGATAAAAGTTTTCAATAGCTTTTTTGGTATCAAAACTATCAAATGAAACTGCCAAAAAGCTATCCCGGTAGGTACAGATCAACAAAAGATAACGTTAGTAAGCTATGTAAATAACCGTACTTTTTAATTTTTTAAAATTTAATTTTCAAAGTACCGTCTAATGCAGAGGTATTTTAATGATTATTATCTATTGAACCAACCCAGAAAAAATCCCAAAACTATAATTAATAAGTTATTTGAAATCAATTTGTACTAAGTTAATAAAACATTACTACTGGGCGGAATTTTGATTGTGCCCTGCATAGTTAGTTAATTAGTTAATAGTTTGTTGTTTTTACTAGTTGGTATATTAAAAAGTAGCAGAGGTCCTCAAATCGCTCGTAAATTGCTTCACGCCGGCGTCATATTATTCTGGAGTAACATTTCGTCTGCGAGACCGTCGCGAGCGGTTGTGCTTCAGGGAATCATTATTTTCGACACATATCCCTGTCATGGACTTATACAAAGCAATCAAACTTATTTTTATAGTTTTGTCTACAGTTATGCAGTGCGTCAATTTGAACACCGTTTCGATAAAAGATAACCGGCTATCGATGAAAGTGTGTTATTGTAATAATAAAAGTGATCAAAACGCTCAATTAGTGATGTTGAAACCATTTAAGTGTTATTACCGTTACATGTCGTGCCGCTCGAGTAACTTGCTCCTGTGGAAAAGGCGGAGAAGGGTGTTAAGTGATATGATTAAGTTGCCGGAGAAGACTGATAAGATAAGGCATAGGAGAGAAGTGGAGAGAGTTAATAGTTATATGTTGAACGTGCGGGATAATGATAGTGTCCCAAGGAAGGGGTTGAGATATTCTCCGGTAGGTGTGTCTTTGGTGGCGCGTTTCAAGCAACAGTGGCCCGTGCATCTGTGGCGGCGGTATGCATATACGGACGATTATCTGATGTTGATCAACTCGCACTGGCTCCGGTTCCCGCCACCAGACCCTGCCATCAACTACGCGCTTGGAGCGCTGTACGTGCTCATGATGGTCGTGGGATGCACTGGAAACGCGCTCGTACTCTTCATGTATATCAAGTTAGTACTTTGTTTATATCTACATTCGGTTTTATACACACATCCATTACATACTCGTATACATCAATAAGAGAATAGGCTAATCCTAATAATATTACTTCGAATACACAAAACATGTAAGTAATCCAATAAAATTCTTTCAACACAATGTCTCAAGAAATTCACCTTCAAACAAAAATGAAGTAAATTGGTTGATACAAAAGGTCATAACATAACCCATTCGTTTAGAAAAGGTACAATATCAATCAAGCGTAACAACCCGAGTAAACAAACAGTTAGACAAATGACTGTTTTGACGGTAACCGAAGAAAATAATACCTATTCTGAGAAACTCCACTCACAAACATCTGATGTTTGCCAAGATATTAGGACTTTTTAGGGCTATTTTTATCAACACAATACTTAATGATTTGGCAGGAAAATATTTACTATCACTTAACTACAACAATGATTCTGCTTTTCCTTCTATTTGTTTGGTAGCATAAGCCTCCGGATCCGGACATAGGTTAGGTACCTACCTAAGTTAGCCAATTGTGTTAAGTGTTTGTGTCTCAGTACAATACGAGTAAATAAGACCTATCTGACATGTTGTACATAACATGTCTTATTTTGATTATTATCATTTACCTATACCTATGTTCTTACAAGTATTACTAATACTATTCAGTTTAATGATAGGTACATAGCCTAGGTTTAAAGAACTTTTATATCGTAAAAAAATTACATTTCACTTAAAATAAAGAATAATAGTAGGTAAATTACAAATTAAGCACTGGTTCCTGCTGCTGCTCGCCTGCTTTATTTTTAAAATACCTACCCAATTTAAACGGTATTTTCAGTACTTTTTATGTAGGTAAATGTCTTTTGTTGTCATTTCAGATGTCTTATACTCGTACATAATAATATGAAATATCATCAGTGTTAATACGAGTAATTAAACATGCTTTGATTTTGTAACTTCACTAATCCCGAGATCCTATCTTAAATTCGGAGCAAGAGCGAAATAGACAGAGCCGAAAATATTATGTAAATCGCGTTGAGTTGGAGAGTTAGGCTACGTTTCCACTATGGTGTGTGACAGTGCGAGGATGTTTAGCTAGGGATGTGTTGGTTAGCACTTATAATGGACAGGGCTTACTTAGTGAAGCGAAGTTTTTATTTATAAGCTAAGCCACGAAAGCTGAACGGTGAAGGGGTCGGACTGGCCGAATCGTGATCCGGGGAACGCGGGTTCGGTCCCCGCCGCGCCGCTCGACTATTGTGGTGAGCTCACTCGTGATACAAGCATATTTAGCTTAGTACAAGGAGGGGCTGACGGGAGTATAATTTCTTAATATCTTTTTAAAAAATATAAAATAAATAAATACAAAACAAAAGAGAAACAAGAAAGGGATATGTGCGAGGAATGTGTGTGAGAGATGCAGGCGAAGGTTTTGTGCTATGGATGAAGGCGACCAACTTATTGAGTTGCCTGGTTATATTCAAACAGTGATTCAAATTAATTCCTAACGCTCGATTTATTGTGGGCAAAAGAAGGAGTGCGCTGCCCACTCGTTGCCCGCTCCCGCGCCGCTGTTTTCGAGAACCGGTCTATTTGATTTTAAGCATAAGATCCTGCCGCTCCCGCGCCGCTACCGCCGCCGCCCCGCTGCCCGCTGAATTCGAGGCTGAGGCCTAACACATCTTTCGTAGAAACACGCACAACGTTTCACCATAGCTTCGCTACAGATCCTCATTCCACTCATCTTCGTAGCACATCTTTGGTGGAAGCGCAGCCTTAAGCTGGTATGGCAAGGCGTGTAAAGCAACAAAGCTCGCTCGTCCACTAACTGTGTTGACTCAGATACATTACACGCTACTGTAGTACACCTGCAGTGACGGTTTTAGATACGAAATACAGCGACTTTAATTGTCACTACTTGATCTCGGTTCAGTAAACGATAGTAAAGTATCAATTACACTTACTGTCAATCAATCAGCTAAGTAGTTAGTTGAGGTGCGACGTGATGTATAACGAAGTAAGATTTCCGAGAACTTATTCTCGTAGCTTGGAAGAATTCTGAGTAAATAATAACAGAAACGAATTCGGTAAACAGACGTGGGAACTAAAAATATGACACAAAAAGTGATAGGCGTGCAACTGACATACAATCACCATTTAATAAGGGCAGTATCCTACCTTATATTGGTCTTATTTTTATAAATAAGCGCTAAAGAGTTATCCTGCATCTTGTGTTCTGACAAGTCATCCAGGGTGTCAGACATAGAGCCGCCATCAAAGTATTTCGCTGGATTGCCTCAATTTTTGGCAGTGGCGTAGCGGCAAGGGCGGCCCGCCCCAGGCGGCACTTTCAGACAGTCGGAAAATTTCACATTAAGTTAATAACATTTTCTGAAAATTTGAACCATTTCATTTCATATTTTTGTCGCACTTATGGGTCGGGACGATTGAAATGAGCACGGAATTTTTATTACTTTTTCCATGAATTTGGGGAATCCCCTTCTTTTATGAATGTAACATAAGGATTTTCTCTTTTGGATTTATATTTTTATTGCTAAAATTGGTCGAGAAGAACTTCATCATAGGTATAAAGGTCTTATAATTTTATTAAAACTAATTTATTAAGTACAGCCCTTTCAGAAATAATTTAACTTTGAAAATACCTACAAGTTCAAACTCAAAGTTTTATTGTGGATCGTCATCATTTCTCCTATTTTTAAATTAAAGCACTTAAATAATGTGCCACGTTGGCGAAATTTTCCTCCGAATCAGGCCACTGAAATTTTTACTACGCCACTGCCACTTGGTTGGACTGGCAACGAGGTCTTATCCTCAGGAACACGGGAACAGTTTCTTAACGGACAATCGTTTTGATTTATGCGTGCACTTTTGTTACCAAACCGGGAACCGCTAACATAAAATTACTGAGTACAGAATAACAGAGCCATTAATTTTATTCAGACATAAGCTTTGACAAATAATGTTATTCAAAAGTTTTAGTCTTCTTTATTAAATTTTCTAAAATTATGTATGTATGCTATTCATGAAGTGTAAATTACGATAAAGTACGACTAAACTATTATTTAGTTTAACAAACTTTACATATTCATGTTGAAAAGGTATTGTCACGGTCCCTAAAACTTCCTAAACTTCTGAAACTTTGCTTATGAATATAGTTTACATATAAAGCCATATACATATACAATTAACATACATTTTATACATTTAAAGTTGTAAAACATACGGGTTATACCTACTTACTATAAGTATAGATACTCGCAATAAGATTCGCATTAGTAGCAATAGAAGAATTATCTCACCTGTTATTTTTTGCCTGTTTATAATACGTATTAACATAAATACATCACACATGATTAATTTTAAATTGCAAGAGTGTAATTAGGTAAAACATAAATAACGAAGTTATTATGAAGTAGCGAAGTTATCTCATTAAGGAGAATATAAATCCTTCTTCGAGACTCCACTACGTGGCCGGCCCGCGCAGCGCCTTTGAACTCTGAACTAATATCCAAAGCTATCTTAATATCTATCTCCTCCTCCCTCCCGATGAAGTAGGTAAGATAATATATTAAGACGTGTTCTGATTAGCAACTCTATGTAGGTATTCTGTTAACAAAGATTAGGCAGACGTTTGCTCATTTTTTTTCGTCAAGAATTTTCATATCAAGTAGGTTACTCAAATTGGCATATTTAGGTAGGTACTATGACTAATTTAGGGAAACAACAACCATAAGTGTAAATTATTTATTTTTATTAAAAATGCACATATTTTATGATAATAATAATATAGTGTTAGTACCTAAGTAGGTAAAAAATCTAGGATAGGCAAACGCTTTTCAGGATATTATAATAAAATCGAATGACATAAACGTTAGTACGTTCAGTAGCTTCGTTACGTAGGTAAGTACCTACTTTTAGTAAGTGAATAAACTGTCTATGTCTGTTTGATTCTCTATTCCAATTTTTTTGTTGTTAATAATTTCTTTAGCTTTGGAGACCAAGTTTTTCAAGTCGGCAAACCATTTTTCCAAATCACTTGTAATTTTCTGTGACCATTTGCCATTACTGAATTCATTGTCGACGTCAGATGGCGGCTCCGTAGGGATTTCCACTTGACTGGTCTTCTCTTTCCACGAACACAGGCTTTTAAGAGCTTTCACACTAGTCACACACCCGACTAAATTTCCGGAGGACGTGGTGCAATTGTAATGTTTAACCCAGTCACGCCATTTCTTATCGGCTTCTGAATAAATAAATAATTCTTATTAACGTCTTTTGCAAATACAATACTTAAAGGGTCTAGAAAAAATTGCGTATACTTACTTACTTACCTACTTCAGTTTTTAGATATATTATACTTCAAATAAGATTATACTTCATACACATTCATTATACGAGTAGGTAAGTAGGTACCTAGGTAGTGCAAAAATCAAAGATTTGCTTAAATATTGTTAGAACGTTAACAAACTTATTTCGATTGATTCTAACGTTACCGTATGGTAAAAACCTATACTAAACCAATTAAAACATACCATTTACAATATTCATGAAGGCCTCGCTTGCCTTCTTTATCCCCTGTATCAACGTTTCATCGACGATTGGGGATACGTTATTTCCAGAAGCAATATCGCCGCTATCCACTTCATTCAAAATATCTGGTACAGCTTCTTTCTTGGAGTCCACATTCAAGATTGATTCCAAGAACGCATTGCTCTCTTCCGCCTTCGCACAACTAATAATTACAATAATAGCAACTATTTTAATTAACATTTTAACAGTTAATCAACACACTAGCTAGACTGACTTCTTTTTCAATAATGACGTGTCAACGAATAACAATGAAAATTAATATGCAGTCAATATCATTGACGAGACACCTGTACCAATAATTACCACTAAAATATCTATTAAGTATCGCAAATGGAATGTTTCCCGAGTATTCCAGTAGTTACAAAGTGAAATATCAAGTTTCAATTGCAAACGTCTGAATCATTCCAAATTGAATCAAAGTGTATGTGAATTTTTGTGTTTCAGGTGCCGCAGCCTGCGCACAGCGGGGAACATCCTTGTAGCCAACTTGGCGCTCAGTGACTTCCTGATGCTTGCCAAGACGCCTGTCTTCATCTTTAATTCTTTTAACCTGGGACCTGCTTTGGGAAAACCTGGTAAGAAAAGTGGATTTTAAGTTTATTTAGTTTAGTTAATTTATAACATTAATTTTCGTACCATAGCATAAAATTCTTTCAAACTACGAAAATACTAATACATAAAGCTGTCGCGGACAAACCTTCAAAACTCTGTTAGTCGAAAGAAATTCGGAATTTAAAGTACCTACAAATATTTAAATTTCATTTGCAGGCTGTATCATATACGGATTTCTTGGCGGTCTGACTGGTGCTACATCAATCGCCACGCTGTCAGCCATAGCCCTGGACCGGTACTGGGCGGTGGTGCGGCCGCTGGAGCCGCTGCGCGCGCTCACGGCCATCCGCGCGCGCCTGCTGGCCGTGGCCGCCTGGCTCTACGCAGCCCTCTTCGCCTCCATCCCCGCCTTCGACTTCGGCTACGGACACTACGTCCCCGAGGCGTACCTCACCAGCTGCAGCTTCGACTACCTCACTGAGGAACAAGCACCGCGCTACTTCATCTTCGTTTTCTTCTGCGCGGCGTGGGTCGCACCTTTTTGCACCATCTCCTTCTGCTACCTGAGCATTTTCCGTGTCGTCGTTTGCAACAGAAACATCTCAACCACAAACCAAGAACAAAGGCTCTCCACCCGGCACGTCAAAGAAAGAGCGAAACGAAAAGCTGAAATAAAACTCGCGTTTTTAGTTATGGCCGTCATAGCCTTATTTTTTATATCGTGGACGCCTTACGCTGTAGTAGCTCTGCTGGGGATTGCCGGTAAAAAGGACCTTATTACTCCCATAACTTCTATGGTACCCGCATTGTTTTGTAAGACAGCCGCTTGCATAAACCCTTTCATTTACATTATAACTCATCCAAAGTTCCGGAATGAATTCAAGAAACTGTTGTACAGGGATAAATCTAAGCATATGGGTGGTACTATGAAGACCACCGGTTACTATACTGACACGACTAAAGTTCATAGGCCAAGTAAAGATTTAAGTGACACAGAATCTCAGATTATAGAAATGAGAGACATACCATATCAAGATGAAGTGGTACCAAGTACGGGTACTAAACTTAAAACTATATCATCCAAAGTATGCGAGCGTGAGGATTCTTTGAAAAGCGTCAGTATGAAAAGTTTCGAAGAAAGTGTTGTGAGCCCTCCGTCATGGTACGCCAAACCTAAGTTTGCAAAAAAGAAGAGCTTTCACCGGCGATCAACCAGAAGTATAATATCGTTGAAAACAGATCCTTCGATTTCAACATAAGTAATAAACATCATACGACGTAGACTTAAACCATTGCACCTAACACAAACCACACTTTAGAAGACCACGGTAGTGTCAAGTCACTCTTCAATGTAGTAATCACATTGTAATGAAGTCAACTTTAAGTACCTAGGTAAATAAAATTATAGGTTTAATGAAAATCAGTCGTGGTACCGTTTTCTCTAATACACTTCATAATTAACTATCGAGCGATTAAAATTTAACTGAAAAAGACGTGCGTTAGCTGAAACGGTACTATAAAGCTGATTTAGAGTCGTTTTTAATTATTTATTTATGACTAAGGGCTGACGGAAAAAGCATCCATAAGTAGATATTATGACATACATCTTCGTCGTAATGAAAAAAGTAGCTATAAGACACGTATCGAACTAAGTGTGGTAGACTAACTTTTAACTTTCAAAATGGATTCTACCCTACCTACTTTGTTATCCGGAGTAGTATTTAATCGTATTTGGGTGCCACTTTTGTCTACACTAGGTATAGGCACGAAGGTAGAAGATGCGAGAGAAGAAAAAACTGAAAAAAGACCACCAAACTTTCCAATTAGCGTATTTACTAAAGTTACTTTTACATAACAACTTTCTAGCTAGCTATGTATAGTTAAAGTTGTTAAGTACTTATTTACCTACTGTAGATGTAACCAATGTATCCTGCAAATAAATGGGTTAAAGTATGAAATTGCCAAATCTTTTCTTCAATATTCATTAGTACATAACTTCTTTAACTTAATAGCTATTTTCATTATTCTTTTTTATTTTAAACTCCATTTTATGGACTTATATTGACATAGCATAAATTTTTATGTTTATTTTTAATATTTTTTACGGATACCAACTTTCTTTGTGTATCATATGGCTTAAAATGTTGTCTCAATCTACCCACTTTGTTCCTAAAAAAATATCGCATAGATATTTGTATGGAAAAATGGAATTTAGTTAAATCAAAGCTAAATTCTCCATACAAAACGGCAATTTCATACTTTAACACCTAATACAGGGAGTTTGGTAGAGGGTTAAACACACTTCGTTGGTGTATGTTAAGACATTTTGAGAATATAAATTCGCCAATTTGACCCTAAGTGATCAAAGTACTTTTTTAATAGTTTTTTTTTCTTTGTAGGTATTTAAGTTTTTCCGAAATTTGACCAAAAAACTGCTTCAATATTTTTTCTCGCGTGTTAAAAAAGAAGCTCACTTGTGTTAGTAAATGGTCGAATTTGTATTCTCAAAATGACCTTACATAAATATCCACGAAGTTTGACTAACCTTCTACAAACACCCTGTAAGTATGCCTGTATATGCCTGTTTGTGTTAGGTAGGGCTTCTTTTCATAATGAATTCTGTTTAATATTCTCAGAGATCATAAAACATACCTCAAAATAACCATCATACTTGCCTTGTATGAATCGTAGATTTTCTATTAATCTAATGTCTGTGTTACTTACATTCCTGTAAAGTTTCTTCAATACCGTAGCTTCATTTTGTAGTTTGCTCGTAAGAAAGAAAACTATCATGTTATGTACCAAACTAAATCTATTGAATAACAATAGAGTTCAATATTAGCAAATAATAAACTCAAACGTTTAAATAAAAAAAACCTAAGTATTGAACAAAAATTACTTAGTATAAGAAAATCTATTTTTTCTACATTTTTTATTTAATAAGATCAAATAATAACTTATTTTAAATTATTATATACGGTACCTGCTAATAGGTACAAACACCGACCGAAAAATGTTAAGTAGGTACCTACCTAGTAGTACTACTAGTGTTAGCTAGGTACTAACGCTAGTACCTAGGTAACACAAAATTTTTAATAGTCCCATAATTATGTTTCTGACCTATAATGTTGTATGGAAGATATTTTTATCTGTTTCAATGTGCTGTTGACATTATTTGATAGTACTAGATGATTCAATTTCAAATAAATGATCATGAAAACGGTAACGGTCTTCTTTTACTTATCCTCTGCTGTTCCTTGACCTCCGTTTTGAAAATAGAGCGCTGCACTTTAGAAAGGTCTCCTTGTGAGTTGATATTTTTCGGACTGATAGCTTGTCGTGTTTGATAGAGATAAACTACCAATAGCCAAAATTTCCACACAATTTTGTTAAATAGGTACTTACCTCATGCATCGTTAGTTTAGCTGAGCCTTTTCTTCACAAGACAGACATGCTCTTGATTGGGACATTTACTACACGTCATCAAACACGTAATAAGACTTCCTACACCATTTAACTAAAGCTTATTCTTCATATTCTTCAAGTTCAAGTTAAATTAAAATAAAAAAAGTACGATTTTTTATAGAATTCACGCAAGCATGTCTTTAGTGGCGGGAAAGTGAAGCGGTTTTTTTTTCTTTGATGGCATGCTCCACATGCACGGCTTGTGCGTCAGCCAACTCAGCCACGACGAGGTAAGGTAGGGAAACGTATCTTCAGCAGCTTTGTTTTATTTTTAAGGCAAATGATACGAAAAAATGCTATATTCTGCAACATCACTTTCATGAAGTCAGTGTGTGGTGTGGATTCCAGTGGGGTCTCAGTAAAGCGTCACATCTTTACTCAAGGTCGAAGGATAGAACTCAAGGGAAGAAACACAGGGATTCTGATTTATTATTATACAGGGTGTTTGGCGCATCGTGTGCCAAAATGATTTGGCAGATAGAATGGGTCATTTCCTATATTTTCAGCCCCCATAACACGTTCCATGCCGGGCGGCTACTTTTATATTAATTTTTTTAGTAATTTCACCAAAATACCCAAATCGCATCATTTAATTTCCATTTTAAAAAAAACTACTAGGCGTAGCCTCAAAGTAAATATTTTGTTTTGACGTGCATTGATGTAGGGTTGCATCAAATCTAAATTTACTGGCAAATATCATCCAGTTTTTTTTTAATTCAGCTTTGAAGTTTTCCTAAAAGTTAAAAATGGACTGAACATTTAAGTTTACATGGCTATAAAAAAATAAATAAAAGAGATAGCGATCTTCGGATTTTATCAAAACTTCTCTAGTCTATCCCCATTTAAACGGTATACTAATCTTGTTTAAATAATAACAATAACTTCACAAATTCCTTAAATTAGTGCATTGACTCTACTCGGACTGATTTGCGAAATTTGTGTTTATAGCCCCTTTTGTGTGAATAGCACGTTATTAAACACCTAACATATTACTACAAAGGCGTTTTCTATTCGTTGTTGTAGTTCTTCTATTGTTTGAATCCGTTACGTACACCAGTTCTTTAGCTCGTCCCCAGACGTAAAAATCTAACGGAATTAGGTCTGGGGAACGTGCAGGCCACTGTATAGGGTCATCTCTTCCAATCCACGAGTAGAAAACGCCTTTGTAGTAATAAAAAGAGAAATGTGGCTGCATACGACAACAGTTAAAATTAGAAGAAGATGTCGTGAGTGTATACGTTGCCGAGACGGTCATTTTGAACAAAATTTGTAATAATTAATAAACGATCAAAATAATTATTTTCGTCTTTAATTTCAAGAAATCCACATTGAAAAACGATAGAGTAAAGGTTTTTACTAGAGATGAAACGGATATCCGGTAACTATCCGGTAGGCCGGATATCCGGCCTAAATTTACTATCCGGCTGGATACCGGATAGGAACTCACTATCCGGCCGGATACCGGATATTAAAAAACTACGACATTTTCCTATTAATAAAATGAAATACATTAATCTTTGAGGTAAATATCAATAAAATGGGTTATAACAATGACGGCTTTTATTTAAAGTCCAAAAAGTTACAAAAAAGCCATAATATTAAGGCCTTTCAAAAATCTAATTACTTTTTCTGGGCTAATAACTCTAATGACAAATACATAATAAATAAAATAAAATAAAAATCATTTATTTTCAGACAAAAGCAGTCCATAGTTTGGTTAGTAACAATTTGAACTTAGAGACTATATTAGTAGAGTTGGTAACAATGTTCTTAGAAATATGTTAGTCGTACATCATGGGTTCTGTATATTGACTCTTTATCTATGGACGCTGTACTAATAATGTGTAAGTCAACAAAGCGACCATAGACGGCTGAGTCCAGCCTCTCAGCAATCATTTTCAGGATTCCATTCCCACATAAATTATAAACATCTGTTAATGTCGAAATATTGCCAAATAAAAAAGTGATCTTTTTTCACTGGTGGTCTGGTGACATGATGCATGCAGTTCAGTCAGATTACGCAGCAAGTAAACTAATTTAATTTTCGCTATTCAATCACACACTCACGATAGCAACCGAAATCACCCGAATTGATCTGCCCCCTAGACAAGTGGCAAAATCTGACATTCTATTCGGACGGATTCGATTTTCGAAAAGTGTAACTAGTCTAGTCTACTAATAGATCTACTGATCGCGTTCGAAGCACCTGTGCGGCGCTAAACGCATCACAACATGCAACGAGACAATGGGCCAACTATCCGGCCGCCGGATATCCGGCTATCCGGCCTAGTAGCTGGCCGGATATCCGGTATCCGGTATCCGGCCAAATCACTATCCGTTTCATCTCTAGTTTTTACATTGCATAAGATAAATATTTTTTACCTGATAGGTGTTTAATAACGTGCTATTCACACAAAAGGGGCAATAAACACAAATTTCGGAAATCAGTCCGAGTAGAGTCAATGCACTAATTTAAGGAATTTGTGAAGTTATTGTTATTATTTAAACAAGATTAGTATACCGTTTAAATGGGGATAGACTAGAGAAGTTTTGATAAAATCCGAAGATAGCTATCTCTTTTATTTATTTTTTTATAGCCATGTAAACTTAAATGTTCAGTCCATTTTTAACTTTTAGGAGAACTTCAAAGCTGAATTAAAAAAAAACTGGATGATATTTGCCAGTAAATTTAGATTTGATGCAACCCTACATCAATGCACGTCAAAACAAAATATTGACTTTGAGGCTACGCCTAGTAGTTTTTTTTTTAAATCGAAATTAAATGATGCGATTTGGGTATTTTGGTGAAATTACTAAAAAAAATAATATAAAAGTAGCCGCCTGGCATGGAACGTGTTATGGGGGCTGAAAATATAGGAAATGACCCATTCTATCCGCTAAATCATTTTGGCACACGATGCGCCAAACACCCTGTATAATACTCGTATTATTCATTGACCATTAAATGAGAAAAAAACTAAGACTTGGCTGTACACACTGTGCATAATGCCTTTGCCTACAAAAGGAAAGAACAGAATAAAAAAAAAATGATGAAAAAAAAGGCGGGAAACTTCGAAGTGGCAAGGCGCGCTTCCGAAAGTTTTAAATTAATAAAACTAAATCTGTTAGATTTTTGTTGTTAGGAAAGTTTATTAAGACGATGGGGAGGGGTAGTAAAAAAAGGAAAAAAGTGGAGGTCACCGATTTGGATCCGGGCGATCGCAGCAACGGCGATACTAGTTCATCAGATTCCGAGGTGGAGGATGGTCAGGGAAGTGTTCTTGTTCCGTATTATGTTACTGACTACACCAGGTTATACCCAGAGGACTCTGCAGCTTTTGAATTCGTAGTCTTCATAGAGTCAGCTGATAGCCAGAGGCCCATTGGTACCAGAGATTTATTATCTCTTTCCAACGTTCTGAGAAGGTACAATAAAGGCGTTAAGTATTTGAAAGCACTCAACAAGTACAAAATAGGAGTCTACTTTGAAAAGCCAGGTCTAGCCAATGCACTACTGAATAATAAAACCTTCTTAAGTGATAATCAGTTCAAAGCCAGCATTCCAGCTTCATCCACCGAAACCACGGGGATAATTCGAAATGTGCCTATAAAGTACAATAACAAAAAAATCTTTACCATGTTGAGCAGTAGCAAGAAGATTATCAGCGTTCGCAGATTCTTCCGCAAAGACACCACAACTGAAGGTTTCTCNTTACATATCAAGATTAAGAATTGGACATGGCCGATTTAATGAACATCTCCACCGGATGAACATGATCACCTCCCCATCATGCTCATTCTGCAATCAAGCTAATCAATCCCTCCATCACATATTCTTCGAGTGTTCTATATTTTCACTCCAAAGACTCATTTTGATAGAAGACTTATTACAAGTTTATAAAGAACCAGAAGTCATCCCGCGCTCTCTACCTGATCTTCTCAAAAATGAAAACTGTTTTGTAGCATTATACAAGTTCTTAGTTACCACTAAAGAAGAAATTTGAAGAAATTCAAAGCCGAAGTTGAAGGGAAAGAAATAATAATAATTACTCAGTCGGCTTTAAAATGAAAATGTTTCCTCTCTCTCGCGCCGTCTCCGTGAATACAAACTGAAGACTTGGCTGTATGGCGAATGCCTTTGCCTTTTCCTGCAAGAGGAAAGAACGAAACAAAAAAAAAAAAAAAAATGATTTGTCAATTTTGACATTGACAATTCTGCCCACCACATCTGTCACAATGACATATACCGCTCCTAACCTATTTCCTCGATTATTTAGACGATTTTCTAAGAAAAATCTAATAATTACTAGTCAATTTAGTACCAATAAGTCTTACAAAGTCCTTTTTTTTGGTTCGGATTCTATAGCTTTGCGCAGTTTGAGAAAAATCAATGAATTCAGGTATATATCATCCTAATACTTCTCCTATTTTTTAACTATATGATCACCAAGTTTGTAAAGAAAATAATATGTTAACAGCGTCACCTTTACATGAATATTACCTAATATAATGCTATTGTTCAATATTTTATACAGGAAAACGGAAAAAATCATAAAACAGCTGGACCTTGTTACGTCAAATCAGTCGAAAAACAGAACAGAAATAGAGAAGTACGCCGCTTCAGAAAGCCTAAAAATCATAACATGGCCTCTCCACCAGTTAAATACTCTCCAATACGATATCGGCCTCATTGTCGCCTTTGGACATTTAATCAAAGATGACGTCTTAAATAAGTTTCCTTTGTAAGTAATGCTTATTTAACTTCTGACTTACGGTATGATTCATATAATAAATAATCATTAGGTTTCAGTTTAAATCTAGTGTACTTACTTTCTTCCAGAGGTATGGTGAATGTCCATCCAAGTCTCCTGCCGCGCTGGCGTGGTGCTGCCCCTATCATTCATACACTTATGCACGGTGATGAAGAAACAGGAGTCACATTGATGAAGATAAAACCAAACGTGTTTGATGTAGGTATGTCCTAGATTATTTACTAAACATGGGATGAGACATTAATTTGCAAATACTAAACCAATTTTTCAACTTGATTGCCCTTTTTTAATGTCAGTTAGGCAGCCCTTTTATAATAAGGCATCAACTAAAAGATAACAGTCGAAATTTAGGGGCAAAATTAGACAGGGGAATTTCTCATAAAAAAAGGAAGTGATTACTAGGCTAGGTACTTACTTTAGTATATTGTTACTCTTTTTGTTTATTTATTAAAGATAAATGCTCTAACATTTCAGGTGAAATAATCAGCCAAAGAAGAGTCCAAGTGCCCAAGGACATTAAATTACCAGAATTAACAGAACAGCTGTCAGACCTTGGCGCTGACATGTTAGTAGACTGTATAAGAGAATTACCTCACAGCCTAACTAATGCTCAACCTCAAAGTAGAGATGGTGTTACATATGGTAAGATTATTAACTTATAAAGAAATAAAATGTATATTTCCTGTTTTCTTGATAGAGATTTCCTTAATACTAATAACTGACTTTTTTTTTCAGCAAAGAAAATCAACAAATCAATTAGTGAAGTTAGATGGTCAGATATGGAGGCAGTTCAAGTTTATAATCTTTATAGATCAATTTATGGACTGTACCCACTCACCACCACATTTAAAAATAGGCAAATGAAACTATTTGATGCATTTTTGCATGATATGGCTGAAGAAATAGAAAAAATTGTACCAGGTACACTTCAATATTGTACAAGGACAAATGCCATAAAAGTTTTGTGTAAAGACAAAAGATACATTTATTTTAAATCTCTAAGAATAGTAGGAAAAAGAGAAATTACTGCATTAGATTTCTATAATGGCTATATAAAAAATACTTCATTAGAAAAACGATGTTGTTTAGTTTGTTAAATATTTAATAAAAGTTCTAAAACACATACAATAAATAATAGAAATACATAGATAAGTATTTATAATGTAAATATAATGTTATTGTTTAATAAAGTATACATTAAAAATAAATAAATATTTTTATATTGAAAATAGAATAGATACCTATAACACAATCAGCCCTAACTCAAAATCAACCATCTAAAAAACCTAAAAAGGTACTCTTTCATTAAATTAATTACTAAATCTCACTTTCACCAAAATTGGTTCAAAAAACATTATTATTTTAAAAAAGTTTGAAGTCTATGATAAAATCATTACGTAAAAACGAATTATAGATGACCCACGCTGAACTGTCCCACCAAACTCAATGACAGGGGGGTGCTACCATCGTTCAACTATATGGTTTCCAACATGGCAAAAATCGGAACCAGCGATCCGGTATTGACGGTGGCGCCCCACTGTCAATGTCATCGATAGGACAGTCCAGTATTATGGAACTATATCAATTTGAGCAAGGATTGAAAAGTCGCCAAGGTAAAGCGCCTCTCACTCTCATTCACAACATTCCATCATTTATCAGATTCTTATAATATTTTTTTTGGTTCTATAGCACAATAATTTGCTCAATTTTCTCGAATATATCACAATGAAAATAGAGGTGAGATTGGAAATAATTATGTTTTCAACATTGTACTTTACATATTAAGACCTTATTGAATTACTATAATAACTTTGTCTTTAATTTGCAATCTCGTAAGTTATATGTTTACGATTCTGCATGCTGTGTTCATTGCAGTCTATAGTAGATTTCAGAAAAGATAGGAGACTAAACCTTCACCCTGGAAAAAAATAAATGTTCTTTAATATAGAAGTCAGAAAGGAGGCTGCAGAAGAAGTGCTTACGAGGGCTGCACTAAAAGTATCGGGAATGGAATATTTCCACTGTTCCAGTCATATCAAAATCTATTTAATTGCAAAGTCCAGGGTTTTAAAAATCGTATACCATTTATTTATTTAAAAAAAGATTCTCGGTCGTATCACAAGGTCTTGTCAAACTTGTTTAGTCGTTGAGAAAATGGAATTGACTCGAGAAAATTCAAGAGCGATGATTTATTATGACTTTTGAAGTGGTTTAACAAAAAAACAGTGTGTTGACCGGATGATTTCTGCATTTGGTAATGAAGCCCCNTTCAGTGCCGCCCTCGTAAATAGTCATAATGATTAGTAAGCTGCTCAAATAATAATATACAATAGAAGTCAAATATAAATTAAATAGTTTTAAATACATAGATAGATAGATAATCACTTGTACGGACGAAAGCACATCAAGCTACAGATTTTTGTTGCAAAATAGTCCCTATCACAACTAAATAAGATGTGCTGTTGTCTATAATATAATAATATAATGTAGTGCTGTTGTCTATACACCTACACAAAAAGAAATAAAGGTATACTGTACTCTAGCATGAACAACTTTCGTCTTCGAATCGTTTGCGTACTCGATAAAATTCGATACTCAATCTTCGAATTAAACGATAACGTGACAATTTTGATTCTCAAAATAAGTTTCATGCAACCACATCTCATACTAAGTTCACTTTACGACACGTTCACAAGGGCGCTGTTGTAGTTTTCTTACTAAATCTTTTGATGGCGATTCGAGTACGCAAACGATTTGAACTCGAAAGTTTTTCGTGCTAGCCGTACTGGCATAAGAGACGGCACAATTTAGGCGGGCTTATCGCTATGACGCGATCTCTTCCAGACAACCTATGGAGAGGACCATTGTTTTTAAATGAGTAAAAGAGGATAAATAAATAAGTCAAAGTAAATAAAGTTATACTTACCCTTAGATATGAAATGTTCGCCCCTCAAAATGCGAAATGTCAACTAACATAACATAACATAATGTTTATGTATTAAATACATTTAATGTAATAGTGCTAATGCAATGTTGTGTTAATTTTATGAACGCATTGTGGATATTAAACGCCCATTTGCTGAACCCAAGCATAATTTAGCTTTTACATAATATTTTTATCCTGAAATATAATATAAAATCTATAAATAGATAAATACGCCTTATCATTATTTACAACGTAGTTGTTGATCTATAAACGTAATTAACACTGGATATTCAGATACTTGCTCTTTTGGAAAAATTTTGCTGCTTACGCTCATTCACAGGGATGACCTCGTTTAAATAATAAAACAATATTTATACAAACTTTATGTATTCAAATTGATGCAGTACATACATGAAAGCAAAATAAAATTGGCAATGGTTACAATAAAAACAGAAGCCTTTACTTAATACCTACACCTTACCTCATCCTAATTTTAGCTTATACAGCAATGCGATTTTCTAACTACCCGTAGCCTGAAAAAAATAAACTTGATATACCGACAACCAGCAGGTCCGATGGACACTGAAATATTGCAATTTTGTTCATCAAGGCTTCTGTTTTCTTTAATGGTGCACTCAAACTGTGGCTGAATATTATTATGAGAGGTATTATTACCAAATGATATTATGTCACAGGCACTCTTTATGGATGATTACTCTGGCGAATCAAGCTAAACTAGGAAAAAATCGCATAATTTAAAAAAATCACAATCACCACTAAGTACCAAAACCTTTTAATCTTAACGATTTTTCCTACTAAATACTAATCTTAATGATTTTTCCCAGCTCCGCTTTACTCGTCTTCTATCCGATGAATTTAATATAGGATGATGAATTATTCGTACCACATCGCAAAGTTCTCGACTTAATTATCGCCAGTTAAAATATAAATTCTATCGGATAGAATGTAACATTTAGATTTAGAGACAGGACGAGTACAATGGTAAACTTTTAAATTATGATCATAACATACTATGTTATTTGCTCAACAGAGTCTGAAAATTGCACCTATATTATTATGTGGTACTTTTTCTTATACCTATTCCTATAACAATCAATTCAATGATTTTTCGTAAATGCATTTAAAATTAAACTTAATTTCATAATCGCGTATAACATTCATATAACGTGACTTTAAATAGAAGTTACGGAGCTAGTTTTAAATAATATAATATGGCAACTAAGAACAATACCAATCTACTCGTGTAAGAGTTCGCCAGTTCCATGACGATATCTTTATGATAATAATTATAAATTATAATTTATTGGATAATAAAATGTAAATAATTGTTAGACTTAATAATCTAACAATCGTAATACTATTTTTTTAAGTAATCTTACACAAAAAAAAAACAAATGATTAACCAATTGATAAGCCATTCAATATATTTGTTTAATGTTTTAAATGCTTTATGCAAGCCAAGCAAACTGAAAACTTACACGGATTTTCCCGGTAAATGTTTAGGGGTTTTGACATTAGACTAGAATAAAAAAAGCATTTCCTCTAAACGTCTAACGCACAGGTTTAACAGTATTATATCATGAACACACATTTTACCTACCAACTATGATCATTGATCACACATAAAATGGAATTCGTGCCAATGGCTTCAATAAATCTAACACACATGACGTTCTATATCTACTACTACATTGAATATTTCAAATATTTAAGTAAATCTTAAATATCCACTCTCTGAACTCATTGTGTATGTTAGATTTTATTCTACTGTACAAAGTTAGTTTTCGTCTAAAACATGTTTAATGTTTGCCAATGTATAATTTAAAATAGCTAATTTTATCTATGAATGTTCTAGACAAAAACTGAATCCGAACAGCGTACAAGAGAAGAATAGCGTCATAAGGTGCAAGTGCAGACAGGAATGCGAGTCTCAAGTGGATGCGAACTGGTGGCCATTCACTCGGGTCACAGAGAACATTTGGGCGCCGGCTGTTTCCTAGAATATTAGTGAAAAACATTACTAGCAGTTATTTTGTTAGTCATCGTTACTCTAACACTCATATGAGCTTGCATGATTTGTGACCGAAACACCGACCGTGATATGAACTTGTAGACCCATTTCTTAATCAGCGTCAAATGAGAAGTAAATGCAAATGACGCTTGTGTAACGATAACTATGATAAGATATAGAAATACAAAGACAGCCGTTCCCGTGAAAATGAACTTTATTAACAACATAGAAAAGAAGTACAATACCGCACAACAAATGGATTCAAAAAAACATGCATATAAAATAATACAACAGACAACCACAATAAAATAACAACATATAACAATATAGCACGTTAGTAAAACTTTGTACAAAGCACTGTTGCGATCATTAATAAATGCTAATATTCTTGGGAGCGAATCTGCAAAATGATATGTTAATGTATTAAAAATATTAAAAAACTCAAAGGGTTCTAACTAAAGCACTTGCAACTTGTAATAAAACACCGGTAACAAATATTTCACTATATTTTAATTATCGACGAAGTAACTCAATTTTTAACACGACTGAATACAAGTTTCCCCTTTATTTCGGATAGATAGTTACGTCGTGAACAAAATGGGGAAGATAACACTTACAATATGATAAAAAGATATTTATGTTATCCTACTCTTACATTAAATAATATGATTTAGTATGTTTTTTGTACTTATCGGCTAGTTTGGACTGGACAACATCAATAAAAGTTATCTCAACAGCCGCCACTCGAATATGTTCATTTATACGAAGCTACTAGTGGCCGGAGATAACAACTCATACAGGTGAAATTTGTTAGCTTATATGACAGTTAATTCATCAACAAAGATAAAGCTACTATCGCCTACACAATATTAGCAACAACATTAATATATTTCAACAGCTGGTGAAAGTTAGTTGTATAACAATATTTTTTTTACATGCCTTATTCACTTACTACATACACTATGATCAACATGACTGCAATTTTCGATAACGCATCATTAAAACATTACTTTTGTCTTTTACGTACACAGCCTTGGAGATTATGCTAAATTGACAAATAGTTAAATTACTATCATCAGTTATTATTATACCTTAACATACAGGCAGTAATAATAGCCAAAATTTCAAATGACTGCTAATGATTTCACACTACACTAGAATGATTCTATATTTTTACTACTTGAATAAATGTGCACAATGTAAACCTTTGTGTACTTTATCAGTTTTTTTTTTTTCAATGGGTTAAACACTTTTAATCATAAATTACGTGTATACTTACTCGAATATAAATAAATAATTTAATATTAAGTTAAATATGTATATCATATTCAAAAATGATCTATTTATATTAGTATAAAAATTATGTAAATGGAAAGTTTTGTACAACATAATCTTGCTTATAATAAACCATCAACATTAAACAGAGCTCCACAGTAAGCTAGGTGTTTACAGGGAAACAAGTAATCAATATGCCGACGTATTAAAATCTGTTATCGAACGAGTGCAGTCATGTATTCATACTCATCGAGATACGTATAGATAAATCATTATCTAAGTACTAGCACCCTGTAAAATAAACATACATATAAATGTTATGTACATGACTAAGTTATGGCGTCTATTCTACGTATGTAAATAGGCTCTATGTCTAGAATAAAAGCTAGTCAGAAGGGAAGCGGATGCAAGGAATGTCTTACATGTGCTCCGGATGGCTGCGAATGCAGTCGATGAAGTCGCTGGGCTTGAGCTCGCCTCGGCAGATGCGGAACACGGCGGTGAACAGAGGGAACCTGGAAGAATACGTTGGAAGCTTAATAATAATTGCACATCTTTAACGAATTCACTTGACGACCAATCCCTTGATAGCATTCCCGAGCATGCGATTCGCACTTTGGACGACAAAGTTGGTAGCTACGGATTCGAAATTTTACATAACGAAAGACAAGGTATACCTATTCTCATACAAGCAATAGCTGAAAGAATTTATTACGTGATATCTACAAGTTCGTTGCCGTTTTGTTTAGTAGATGTTGTGCACTGTTTAATTATTGTTGTGGCTAGAACTGATATCGCTTGAAAATAATATGATATTGAAATACAGTGATCTGAGCAAACATACTCTTAGAGCGGCCTTGCTAAAATGCATCAAGAGCGTAAGACAATTTTTATTACGTTTACCACGTAATCGCAATAAAACACGGTATTTAGTGTAGCGTGTAGCTATCGAGCTCTGAGATTACATGGATTGTAGCCAAGATTCTATTTCAGAGCAGCTTTAAGTAAGTGTCGTCGAAATAATATCACAAGTTAAATGTAACTAATGAATAAATACCCAATTTAACTAACAGCCGTCGGCTTTGTATACCTAATAATAAATGCCGTGTGCTGTGACGTACCTACACGATTTTATTAATCAGTTATCATAGTGAGTGATGGGCCTGAAATCCAAGATTACTCTATCTCTTGTGAGTATCATTACCTCCAAATTTTGATTCTAATCATAAGTAGGTAGATATGTATTGTGATAATGATGAAGTACGTCTCAGTAGTATTGGTTTACAAATCAACCTCTTGGTGACGTAGTACCTACAATGATTAATTGGGTTTTCTTCCCAAAATGACGTGGAATATTTGTGATTTGTGTGTCAAAACTTACTTATTCTCCATATTCTTGTTGGCCAGCATATGGTTGACTTCCTCAGCGGTGATGGGTCCCTGCAGCTTCTGTCCGTTGAGCATCTCGTCTTCCAGCTCCTTGATGGAGCGGCCAGTCTTCACGAAGGCTTCCGCCACTCTCCTGTTCCTACCACCTGAAACATCATACTTCTATGTACGGTCGAATCGTACTGAAATGTTGCAGTCGTGGCAACAAACTTTTAAATTATACATCTGACAAAAAGGTAAATCTAAAATATGTTCTTCCCTTTTTAGTAGGAAATACTGAATTTGGGAAATCAAAACTCGTAAATCCCAATCAAGGGCTGCCTTCGATTTAGACTGCAAACGAAAAGTGAAGTAAGAAGCAATAAAGTCCGGCTTCTAGAAAGCGTTTTTGGGTTAATGATACGACACTCCTTATCTAAGGTTCAATAGTCCAGATACTCGTATTTAGTGTGTACGAGTTGTGTCCTGCTTGATTTGAGTTTCCTCAGTACCCTGAGGACAAGATAGCCCAAAAGTCTCTAAAACATTTCATTTAACCTTGAAAACCCAATAAGTTTTTGATTAAATAACAGTACCCACATATTAGTAGCTTTGAAATCGATAATAAGCTAAGCTAGCAAACAAGTGACGTCATAGCTATTCCTGAACAGAATTTATCGGGAAATCGCGTTTCCACAGTTCATTAAAAGTAGTTACCTATGTAGGTGTGTTAATTGATTAAAGGTGTCAACAGTAGTAGGGAATTGGGTTCTCTGGCTCACGGTCGTTCAACATAATCGGAGTTTTAGTTTTCAGTCTAAGTGAATCGTTCAACTATAGAGCGCTCTCGAGAGGCGCTTTACAGCGCCTCTTAAGCGCGCAACGAGTTGACTGATTCACCTAGACTGAAAACTAANACCTACTACTGTCAACTGCTACTCAAAGAGCATTTGGCACTGTATAATCGATTTTAATTAAGTAATGGTTTGTCAAATTTTGAACTTTACCCAGTTTGTTTTAGATACTAATCATCTTTATGATTATGCAGCAACGTAAGCGTATTAACGTCTTGCTTACGCGTGATAATTACGTAAATACAGTTATCTAACATGTGGCAAGCAAAGAAGGTAATACGTTAGTTTTCACAGATAGCAAATAGGTATAAAAATAATGTATGCACATTATTTTTTTCGTAATATACGATATTTGTAGTTATCTAATCTTTATGATATCGTAGTAAGCAAGAGTCAAAGTGCACTCAACTCCGCGGAATTTATCAAAAGGTAAACCGTCGCACTTGAAAAATATTGTTGAAAAAGTGTCGGTTGGAAGGTGTGAAATATTTGCGAATGCAAATGGCAACTATAGGTACTACTTATTCAAGGTTAAATATTGCGCAGTTAAGTATACTATTTCACTCGTGCAGAAATAATCAAATTGCATCCAAATCCAATAAGACACATTTCTGATATTTCTTGATGAATGTGAGAGGCGTGGACAAATCTATTGGTCAATAAAAAATATTTATAACTATGACTGTTGTTTGTTGCCACAGTGCACATAAATATTTTGACCAAGTTGTTTATCTGGGCAATATAAGTATGTAATAGATAATGCTCTTCACAACAAACCAACTTTATTATGAGAAAGCGACATTGAATTTGCGAATAAGTTTTTTTCTTCTACGCGAATCAGCATTTTAACTCTACGATAATACTCGTCGACATACCACATATAAAATTGTGTTAATATGTAATTCAGGTTATTTCGCCATTTTATACTTTAGTAAAATATCTTCGTTTTGACAACCACACCAACGCGTTCAGATCGCCATCGCCGGCGCGATCATAGGGAAATGACAGGTCGCGTGAACTGTCATGGGTCGATCGCGCCGGCTGAAGATTAACGGAATCGCCACCCTGTATAAATTCATTACTCACCGTAGCAGGTGGTGACGAGGTCGGCCACGCCGCACGACTCGAAGAAGGTGCTGAGCTTGCTCCCTGGATAGAACACGTCCACGAACTTGATCATCTCCATCAGGCCCAGCCGGATCACGGCGGCCTTGGTGTTGTCGCCGAAGCCCAGGCCGTCCACGAAACCCGCGCCCACGGCCACGATATTCTACACATCAGTTGTTTGTTTTTAAAAGAATATCAGTAATGTGTTACTAATGAATTAGTCCCGGTAACCCGTTGTGGTATGGTAAATATAATCACCACAATCGTCCAGCCGGGCTAGGATGCAGGCAAAATCGATAAAATGGCGTGATAACCGCTTATCGCGGCGCTCGTCCTAGGCCTACAGGTTCGAACACGGATCTCTAAACGACCAAACAAAACAACGGTCCAAAACAGATTGGCGGCTATTGTCTTTCTTTAGTGCCTTAAGTCTTAGCTATACAAACAGTGACAATAAATCTTTTGAAAATAGTTTGGCGTTTATACAGGGTGATCTGAATACGGAGTCTTGAATCTTCGTAGCGTTGCGCTTGCTTTGCTATCATAGTAGAAGTTTCTCCTGCCTTTGAGTATAGGTACGCATACTCAAAGGCAGGAGAAACTTCTACTTTGATAGCAATATTGAAATCATGATGATTAACGCCGCGGCACCGCGTAATGCCTTGTTACTATTTTATTTCAGGGTAACAATATGATAGGTCAGCATAAGGACATTGGTTCATTTCTCAAACATATTTAATTTATATAATTTGAAAAACAAAGTCAGACTAAACAACAAATATTGATGATACATTAAACATATGCAGTACCTACTGATAATGATTCAAAGTTGGCGAAAACAAGCTTCATTATGAAAGACAGGCTAGACAAGATACGATAAAGGTCATAATTACAATAATTAGTACAAACTGCAAAGTACACAGAGTAAAGCAAGATCAATTAAAGCTTTAAATCCATATCTTCTAAACAACAAGGTTCGAATTGCTTTGGTCAATTTGTTTCTCGCAGTTGAACATTGCCCTGCTAAGTCACGTTGTTTGTGCATCAGTCCAAGGAACCTTTTATGTATTGATGTTTACGTGTTATTTTTCATAATCGAAGTCTTATAAAGGTCGGGCATTTGTTGACAATAACTCACCTTGAGGGCTCCACAGATCTCGACGGCGTCCTCGTCGTCGACCACGACGACCCTGAAGTACTCTGTTTGAATGATATCACGCATCATCGGTGCAAGCATTACATCTCGGCAACCGATTGTGGTCTCGCAGAACTTCTCTTCTGCGACCTAGTGATGAATAAAGACAAAATTAAATCGTAATCGTGTAGTGTTGATTGTCTGAATTGCATTTGCTAATTAGTAGCTTACACAAAAGAATTAAGATTTTTAGACTGGTTAAATACATGCATGACTTTTGTTACCTGTAAAAACGTCATGCGAGCAACAATAATTGATCGAATGCTAACTAGATTAGTTAGATTTCCTTAAGTCTACAGGGTGTTAGGTAAATATGAGCCGACACTAGCCCATGTTAACATGGTCATATAAATGGTATGGTGAAGTCAGAAAATTGATATCTTCATTTTAATTATTTTAATTTTCATACAAATCGGATTTTATAAAAAATATTTTGTATGAAAATAAAAAAAAATAAAATGATAATATCAAATTTCTGACTTCACCATACCATTTATATGCCCACGTTAACATAGGCTAGTGTCGGCTCATATACCCATTTACCTAACACCCTGTATAATTGCGTAGTTACTAGGACCATTGCTATTTGCCATGCACGTTGAAGTACGATTAGTCAGACCAATTAGTTTCTACGTGGGTCTGTGATCGTCTTGCAATTGTATCGTTTACATCGGCCATGGTCTCGTTATTATTAATCTTGTAACCATAGCTATAAGTAAGAAGTAACTGCGTAGGAAGGTACTTTATCTTTAGTTATCATTTATCATAAACAACATTGCACCGGCGGAGCTAGACTAAACCTCGATGTAATACACTGCAGACTATAAATAGTTCAGAGGAGACAGACAAACACCATACTGCCATTACTAATCGCTTAACTACTTTTAGGTAGGTAGGCGGAATGCGTGCATTGTTTAATACGAACTGTGCCCGCGACTTGGAACGCGTGGAAAACTTTTTTCAGAGCCTGTGGTGAGCTGTAGGATTGAGTCACATATTAGCGACTTTATCGCGTAAAAACTAAAATATGTTTTACCTACTTTCATGAGATTTTAAGCTATAATCGTTAAAATTCAGTAGGTATGTACTTTTTGAGTTCATCATAACAGACATTACTTCGCTAAAGATAAAAATACGGTGAACAACTATATTTTTGGAATCCACTGGTCGTAATAAGAGAGTTGTTTACACACACATTTTTCATTTGTTTGGATCGATACCGGTTTTACCTATATGTTTACAATTACATCATTGACGAATCTAGATTTTAGCTTCCTGAAGGTAGATAAAGATATAATAATTTACTCTTTCGCATCAAAAAACGTCAGAACAGCGACTGCAGGAACTGAAAGTGTATAAAAGACCAGTTTGCCTTCACAATACCTAGTCGGATTTGTTTCCTGAATATCGGCAGTCCCAATCACTCACCTCTGACGCAATGTTAGCCCCCATGAGCACCGCGCACGGGATCTTCAGACACCTCGTGATGATGTGAGAGATCAGGTCAATGCCGCCACCTTCGGCGATGTCGAAGCCCTGCCAAAAGTTCACAATTATTTCTCATGTCCATTGCATTATTTTCATGCCGCCACGGTAATGACATTGAGATTGCGATTCTCGCGCGCTAAAACAGACTGGGCGTATAAATAGCACAATGGTATCGGATTGTCTACTACAATGTTCATCGCGTAAGATAAAACAACGGAATGTAGTTTGCTGTAGTTTTCAGAAACTTGTAATAGAAATATCTATAGATTATTTATAACTTTTTATCTATATTAAACATTATTTAGCTGGCAAAGTGATTACCTTTATCAGGGAAAGTGCCGCCGCTGTGGGCTTTATCTTTCCGAGGAGTGTGGAACATATTGTTCTGACGAACTGATGTGGGACTACGAAAATAAGCAGATCGGCGTCCTTTGCCGCCTCTACCACGTCGGGGACCGCTACCTGTCATGAAACATTAAAAAAATATGGGAAAACTTAAAAATCATATAGAAAATTAGATAATTTTGAAAAGCAGCCAAAAGAGCTCAATGCCCTTTCAGTAATTACCTAATAAATATAATTAATATTCTTAAAATATAAATACATAGTTAAATAGCATGCCTACTTGCCAATGGAATAATCCAGATATGGCATTTCAATAACAAGGGCATATTGAGTCTGCCTCTAGGCAAAAAAAAACTGGAATTCAAGGCAGGCCAACCACAATGCAACTTTATAAAGCTGTTTTTATCTCAAACATAATAAAATAGAGTAAGTTAGATATTGAATGAAATACGAATTTTACGGTATATTAACATGTTGTACAGGTAGTTGACTGGCAGTGAATACTGTTTAGATTTAACCCACTTTATACTACCGTCGTTTTAAAACAACACATAGAAACAAAAAATTTTGGAGAATATGTAGGTACTTTTGTTTTTATTTATTTATGTTACTTGACAGGTGAAGGCTTTGTCGACTTAGTCTATGTGGCAAACCTTAATAATTCATTAGGTTTTCCATAATATTTACAAGTTTATTTAGCCATTTTCAACGATGAGTTTTCAAGATAAGTAATAATAATAAGTTGCACACTTTATTGAGATAGTTTATATAAAACGTGATGTTAGTATCATAAACTACATATAAACATCAAATCACACTGATTCAGAACCTTTGGTAAGAAGTTATAACGAAAAATAACTGGTGTTGTTTATAAACGCCAGCAGTAAAATGTACTACTTTATCTTTCAAGACATTATTATTTTATTTTTTACTGTAGGACACATTATCAGGCTCTGGAGCTTCATGATTTCGTCGAGGAGCTAGAAAATGACGATAATTTTCCAGTACCAGATTGTCTGATGATACAGTAGTTAATACATAGATACCTATAAACAATAACAACACAACTAGAATAAAAACAATTACTGAGCTGTGGCTCAGTGGTCCAGTGGCCCCAATAGGATTATTCCACTATGTTCACCTCGGTGATATCACCTGGGTGAAGAAAGTGTTATTTTTCGTGTCCTCATTTCACCTCAGAACCATTTCACCCAGATGATATTATCCATATGACTTGATTTGACTAAAGCAGTCGCTTTTGTTCATCTATATTTAGGGATGAATTCACCCAGGTTTTCGCATTTGTTTACCAGGGTGAATTAATTTCTAGGTGAACAAAGGTTCTAGGTGATCCTTTTAGTTGACGCAATCCACCTGTAAAATGAAGCTAGGTGAAATGGTTCCGAGGTGAGATGAGGACACTAAAAAGACAAATAAATATTTCTATTTCACTTTCTTCACCCAGGTGAACAAAGTGGAATGACCTCCCAATAGGCTCCCCGCTCAGCATTTATCCTGACATTTTCGTAAGGGCATGTCAAGAAGCTGGTCTTCCTCGGACGCTCTTGCTTTTGGCATCGCACATCCTGTCGAAGAGACATCGACTCGAGTTTGCTAACCCTCAAAAGGGTGCGTAATGCAGGGAATTACCGTGGTACCTATCTTCAGTTATGCATTTTTACAATTAAAGAAACAAAAGATAATACCAAAAGTAATATTACTCAGTTTTGTCACAAAAGCCAAATAAAATAAAGGATGGTTTTCTTTATGCAATGCATACCTCATAGTAGTGCATTTTACTACTGTTGTTTATAAACGACACCGCTTTTCCGAATTTCCACGAGGGAAATATTTTTTTTCTTATTTTTCCCATGTTATTTGTCAGTTTTTAAGCCTCATATACAAAGATCATTAAGTTTGGAGATAGTAAAATGTTTCAGGAGTATCTGGGTTAATATCTACCATTTTTTATTATTTTACATTATTATAAATAGATATTATTCATCATTATTATATCAAATACAAACAATATAAAAGAATTTGACATAGAAATATATTAAAAAAAGTGTCTAACAAAAATATTAAAGTGAAATTAACAAAATGCTCTCTGTGTAAATAAACTTGACACATCTGTTCTGTTATATAACAAGAGACATGTTGGGTAACAATGACATTGGCAGTGAACACCTCCAATATGGAAGTAGAACTAAAATAGACACACATGCGGTACATGTGCGGTGCCAATGCCACAACGATTATCTTGAACTTGGGATGGTTATAATTATTCACATCTTCTATTTGAATAATGGTTTATTTATTTTTCTTTTTTCTTAATAAGTAAAAAATAATTTATTATTTTCATTTCTTTCTCATTTCCAAATGAGTCAATTAATAGGATGATTTTAGATAACAGACATTCATTCCACTAACATAATACTAAGTAATTAAATTTAAAAATCAAAGTAAGACACCACACTCATGTTACTCTCTCAAACAAAAACATCTGATAGTGAGTGAAATAGGAAGGTACATAAAAATGTAACAAATTTTTATTTTGTTGTATACCTACCTAATTTTAAAAAAATGCAAATTACAGTTGAAAATTGTTTGTGATATTAATTAATACTTACAACATTGGGGGGCAGTTTGTGACCAGGCAAATATTTAACATTTTCATGTGTTTCATTGATAATTTCTGTCAACTTCTTCCCTTCAATCATTTCTTCATATACCCACATTGTGACCCGGTCTTCAAAGTTTGCCAATCTTGCTGCATTTTTGCCAACAATCTTTGCTATGGCTGATCCCCTAAAATATTCCCCAAAACAGAATTATAGCCAAAGATAACTTAAAAACTTGGAAGCCACATCACACATGCCTATAGGATATTGTTATGATGGTACACTGACGAATATTAATATTTATTAAATAATAGGCAACAATATCATTATAAGTTGTGAAATCTACAGAAATTGAAAACTGTTATGTCATCGCCTCATAAGGTCATCATAACTTAACCACATTAAATGCTCATAAAATGCAAGTTAATATCAGTATTATATAAAGCTAAAACTTACCAATTGCCCGATCCAATTATGCAAACTCTGTTTTTTAATTGTTTCTCAGCCATCGCAAAAACCTTACACGAACGTAGATACGAAAATTAAAACAGAAGGCGACAGCCCGCGTTAGGTTAGAGATCACGAATGATTGCAAGTCAATGGACGCATGGGCATCCGAGAACAAGCTCAGTCAGAGTGGAACCCAACGCAGTGTGTTATCAAATTATCGCTTTTATCACACACAGTAAAATAAATAAATTTAATCCATTATCACCTGTCAAAAGATGACAGTGACATGTAATGACAGTGACATGTAATGACAGTTTGACAGAAACGAAGACATAGTACTAAATAGATGGATTCATTCGTTTATAAAATGTGTCTTCATGGGAAGTGTAGGCAAGGGAACCATATTTATATCACCTTCCATTAACATGGATGGGAAAAACAGATAAAAATACTCGAGGAATACGATATAGCCCGGTAACCCCTACATTAGTTATTCGGTAATTGAAAAAAATATTCATAAATAAATTGTCTGATTTCTAAGTTCAGTATTAAGTTCTTTTTTATCATGCGGCAACATGCCTTTGGAAACTTTGGATCATCTTTGGATATTTCTAGGGAGGCTTTGCCACAGAAAAAAGGAATAATTTTGAATAATTAGCTCACTTCTTAGCTCACGTAGTACTCTATGCTCAGTGTAATGCTCAATCTATTTTATTTTATCTTCGGTAAATAAACGAAGAGCTAGTATTTGTTCTGTGGCGCTATCTAATTGGTTAAAATTAACAACTTCGGTATTGCTATTGGTCAGTAGATGTTATTTTTAAAAAATCCGCAAGCAAAATTCTATTCAATGTTTGGTCCACTTGCACTAATAACACTGTTGTTTTCTACTATCCTTTCAAATTTAGTTGACCTAGCAAATTTGAGCAAACTCATGATACTTCTTACATCTTAAATTTGGTAGTTTATACAATTGACGTCGAAGTTTCTGGAAAATGTGCGTTTTGCAATCGACTTTTCTACAAAGTTCGTAATCATTTTCAGTCAGACATTCGTCAAACGTCATTCATAGTTTTTTCGTGTGCTGCTGAGATCGCTCGCAACGCGTGTTACAAGAATCGAAACCTCGGAGTGCTTTTTGCAATCATCTGAAGTATTTAGAAAATTTTTGGATTCAGACTCGGAAATAAGGTAAAATCAATAATTTCTTCGAAAGCTTTTGTCACTGTAAAACTCTCATCATGTCGTAGAAACCAGTGCTGGAACTTTACTCCTGTAGTAATTTGAACGGACAAATGCATTGTTATAACTCTAGACTTTTCGATACACAATCATCAGATTTTCAGCGCATAATAACGATTATTGGTAGGCCTTTGTTAGTAGGTAATCATAGTAAAAAAAATCCAAACTAATGGCCTAACCTGAATTCACCACATTTTAATAGCTTTTGTCTGGTTGGTGTCTAATGTTACTCTTGTTTTAATTTTTTGAACTCAATTTGAAAGCAAATTCATAGTTGCTTATTTATTTCTAGTTATACTATTTTAATCAAATGAATAAAACAAGTAGGTACTCTGCTTCTGCAAATAATATTTTAACTTTCTATCAAAAAAAATACCCAATAATAACCTAGCATTCACAGAAACATACAGATTAATGGTAAGCTCCAAATCAAAATTTACAACCAATTGATCAACACATTTCAACTCTTGGTTAACCCTTTGGTCAGAGGGTAGCCCTTTAGTTAATTTCAAGCTTTAAATCTTTTACTTGTCATAAAATTAAGTCCACCAACTTAATTTAATGCTTATCCTATGTATTATGTACATGCTAGCTTATTGACAAGTTGTGTCGTGTTTACACAGAATTCAAGATGGTCAAGGAGACGACATACTATGATATCTTAGGTGTGAAAACCAACTGCACTAATGATGAACTAAAGAAAGCATACAGAAAGTTGGCCTTAAAATACCACCCAGACAAGAATCCCAATGAAGGCGAAAGGTTCAAACAGATCTCCCAAGCGTATGAAGTACTATCTAATCCGGAGAAGAGAAGAATTTATGACCAAGGTTTGTATCTAAGTGCACCTTACAGTTTATAATTTTTTATTTAAAATACAAAAAGGAGCATATTAGTTTGAAGTACATATTCTTTGTAACTTGAGATTAATTGGAATTCATTTTTAGGGGGTGAGCAAGCACTAAAAGAAGGTGGGGTTGGTGCCAGCGGGTACTCGTCTCCTATGGACTTATTTGACATGTTCTTCGGAGGAGGCTTTAGTGGCGGTCGCCGACGCGGACGTGAACGCAAGGGGAAGGATGTTATCCATCAACTGTCCGTCACTCTTGAGGAATTGTACAGAGGGGCTGTCCGTAAACTTGCTTTGCAGAAGAATGTAATTTGTGAGAAATGTGAAGGGCGTGGTGGTAAGAAGGTTGGTACCCTGAAATATGCTGATAATTTAAAACCTCTTAATTGAAGATAAATTATTTGTACTACTCTACATTTTTTTTGTTCTTTAGGGAGCTGTCCAAACATGCCCAACCTGCCGTGGTACAGGAATGCAAGTCCAAATCCAGCAATTGGCTCCTGGCATGATCCAGCAGATTCAAACTGTATGCAGCGAATGTAGAGGACAGCGTGAGATCATTGACCCCAAGGACCGCTGCAAAGTTTGCCAGGTAGGTGATTGGAAAAAAAACAGTACTTCTATTTTATTTAGCTAGTTTCATTGTTTATAATATTGAAAATAATGTCGAAGATCACCTGGTATATTTTCAATGTTATGTATTCCAGGGCCGCAAGACAGTGCGTGACCGCAAGATACTGGAAGTGCATGTTGACAAAGGAATGACTGATGGCCAAAAAATTGTGTTCAGCAGTGAGGGTGACCAGGAGCCAGAATTGGAGCCTGGTGATCTCATTATCGTTCTTGATGAAAAAGAACATGAGGTAAGTTGCAGTCAATTAAGCATAACTTTCTATAATAATAATTTATAATCAAAAACATTATCATTTACTTATGTATTGTATTTTTTAACCTAGGTGTTCAAGCGTTCCGGCAATGACCTAATTATTCGGTTAAATATTGAACTTGTGGAAGCACTTTGCGGCTTCCAAAAAGTGATAAGAACTTTAGATGACAGAGATATTGTTATAACTGTTATGCCTGGTGAGGTCACAAAACACGGTGAAGTCAAATGTGTACTCAATGAAGGTATGTATTTTAAGTCCATTTGGAAGCACTGTATGATGTTATTCATTGTAAATGGGTGGTATTTAACAATAAACTTCCTTTATTTTCAGGCATGCCCATGTACAAAAATCCATTTGAAAAAGGTCAACTTATTATACAATTCTTAGTTAATTTCCCTAATCGCATTCCACCTGAAGTCATTCCTGCATTGGAGAACTGCCTACCGCCGCGTCCTAGGGTATGTAAACATGCTTTATTTTTTATTAAATAGTTAATTTTATAATGTTTCGTATTTGATAATAAAGTTCATTCTTACTCAACTATTGAGCCTAAATTAAAGAGTTCTAATAAAATCCGCATCAGACATGTATTTGCTTACATATTTTATATCCGATAATTATAGCTAAACTAAGCATGACCTTGCCTTATGTAAATTACCTAGTCATACATTACATGCACTGTCCAGTGCAGATATTAAAGTGAATCCATTTACAAATAAAGTACCTACCTACTCCCAAATCAAGCAGTGCTTATAGTTCTATTAGGTAAATAAAGCTATTGAATTAAGCTTACAATACATTGACACAAGCATAAAACCTATTTTTGCATAATTTTTTAACAACCTTAGGGAAAATAGTTGGTATAATGCCCTAGACTCTAGGGCCTAGAGTCTTGGAGCAAGATATTGTAATAACTTAAAAAAAAATATATTGTAATAAGTTCCGCGTCATACGCGTCGCGTGCGTGTATTGCCTCTGGGGTGTCGTTTACAATTTTTATTTAGTAACCAACCGTAATGACGATTTACGAAACTAATTATCACTATCAATTCACGATACGATCACGACATGATGACATCATCATCATACGATGGTAAACAATGATGCAGTAAAAAAATAAGTAATAGAATAATTGTCGGATTGAGTTTTAAATGTTAATTCATGTTAATTTTTCTTGTAAAGGATAGAATTTAATTGATGTTGCTTGATTCCCTCAAATACTGCAATTTCTGTTCTAAAACTTAATTTGTATAGTATGTAAGTAATACATCACATGCCTAATGTGATGTTGTTACTAAGAAAACCTAAACAATACCCCACTGGCACCATTGGCAATAGACGGTCGCGTGTCACCGGAGTAAAATCCCGCACGAGGCATTCGCATTAAGGCACACATGCCTGTTTTCACCATCTATCCCTAATTTTTAAGTAACCCCTATGGTAACACAAAAGGAATTTTGTTTTCATAAGGGTCACTTAAAAATTAGGGATTGATTGTGAAAACGAGCAACAGTCCCTTAGTTTTGCAGGGCAATCGAATACCGCACTTAGCCTCATGATAGGGCCATTGTGCGCGAAACAGTCCCTTAATACCAACCTATTTCGGTCGGCCGTTTGGTGTAGTGGTTCAGAACGGACTACTATGCCGAGAGGTTCCCGGCCGGGCAGAAATTGAAATGATGAATTTTAATATCTGTGACGGGTCTGGGTGTTACTATGTATAATATGTATGTATTTAAAAAAAAGTATATAAGTAGTATATCCGTTAAGCTAGCACCCATAATACAAGCATATTAATTGCTCACTTTGGGGCTAGATGGCGCTGTGTGAGATTGTTCAAAGATATTTATTTATATTTCAATTCAGGTGGAGATCCCCGAACTGGCCGAAGAGTGCACGCTGATGGATCTCGACCCGGAGCAGGAGAACCGGCGGCGGCGCGCGCACCACGGCCCGGCCTACGAGGAGGACGACGAGCACCCCGGCATGAACCGCGTGCAGTGCGCCACCAGCTAGGTCGACCTGGCGACCGTTGTGCCGGGGACCACACCGCATCCGTACTGGACGTCTTTCTTGCAAATTTATCCCATTGGCGTACAATGTTAATCTGCTAGGCAACAGTCTGTGTCCTTTGCTTTCATTACTCAAAAATACTTAAGGTTCGAGTCCTCGCTAGGTTCTATCCTACTAAGGGCTGACTTTTATATCGTCAGATACCTCTTATCTGAAGAATAAACTTTCCATTTTGACATATTTCCCATACTGAAACTGTCAATGTGCCTTAGTTATTCTTCAGTTAAAAGTTGTCTGACGATTGTAAATCTGCCCTAAAATTCCTATAACTCACAATTCCTATCCGCTAAAAGAATTAGCGCGTTACGTGTGCAGAATTATTTGGCGAGCGAAAAGGCAGGCTATAGTTAGATCATAATGTGTCAAGTTGGACCGAATCCCGCGAGCAAAGATTTCTACGACGCTATTTCTAGGCGGGACTTAATTTGGTACTTAATAAAGATGTCCAGTAGTTTGATGCAGTGTTTGTCCTTGGGTGAAGTCACTGGCGACCGCGTGCTCGTCCCGGACTCGCGACCGCGGGTCGACCGGACCACCACATGCCGATGGACCTCGCATTTCATCTATCGCGACACGAATCTAGTATTACTTATAATAATCGAGAGTGTTAAAGTGATTATTTAGGATAGTTTGCCTTATGTTCTTATGTATGTTTTAGATAAATATATCTGACAGTTCTTTAGACCTACCAGAATGATAAAATGAATTTGTAGTGTATCACAGTGTATGAGTAAGTTGTGTATTTATAGGGCATACAATATTTAACTTCACAAATTAATGTTGCTATTGTAGTTTTTGTTTTAGTATTGGCATTTATTTTATGCTCTCGTGTTTGTATTAGGTATCCATGTATAGTTCAAAATTTTACAGCATTTGATTATTAATAATGTTTTTCTTAGCAGAATGCATTGCGCGTGGGCAGGGTTGAATATTTTATTGATTAGGCTACATGTATTTAGATAAGTTAGTCTATAACATAAATGTTATGTATATGTATGCATAAGAGAAAATCGTAATGGTAATAGGTGCAATACCTAATTAACCTAAATTAGTAATACTGCTTTAGACGAACTTCTTGTTCAACACTAAGGTCCATCGGCGTGCCGTTAGACAACATAAAGTAATAATCGTTTCTGTGATTTTTAACTATTTTATTTAGTTGAATTTGCGCTTTTAAATTATCTTAAATCTCATACTTCCTAATGGTATAACCTAGTTACAAATTTAGCTTGACCAAATTCATTTGAATAGTAGAAACCTTGTTCAACTATCTGTAAATTATGCATCATCAACAGAAGTCATGTGTGATTATACCGTTTGTCATGTTAAAATGGTTAGTACATTCCTCTTTCAATCTGTGGTTTGGCTGACCATATTAAAGGCAAAGGTTTTGATTGATTTTACATTTTTATATATTTTTGTAATTTAATATTTCCGTAATTCCATATATCCTGTGATGGTTGTCTGTGTATTAGGTACCTGTGTTTTTCTATTTATTCTATTCTTACCACCATCACGCAAGCCAAACCCATTTTGATGGAGGGAACTGACAACAATGGTTCATCTTGAATCTGTACATCCCTCATTATTTCAATAAATAAAACCTTTTCTCATGTAAACTTGCTTTTTCATTTGCTAAACCTTTTACGAAATTTATGAATAGAGAAGGAATAACTCTATAGAAGTAGTAGGTACATAACATTTTTAGCGTTTACTAGGGATTACACGCTTTTATAAGTCCCGCATCTGTTGTCACTTTCACGTAAAAACTACTGAACGCATTTGTTTTTTTTACAATGTAACTTCATCAAAACAGTGTAGTCACATCAAAATCCGTTGAGTAAACAATAATACTAAAAATGTATAGTATTATTGTTTATTATAATAGAAATGCTATAGCACAGAAAATATAATACTACAGTATAATTGGGAATTTCTGTCTTGCTTGGGTTGACTAAGTAACAGGTGTATAGCCAATTTTAGAACACCTCTATTGTGGGTCTTTTCCTAGATTTACATAACAAAACAGATTTGCAGTGGGTATTACCTACATTATTAGGTTAAATGAGGACCATATTGGTGTCAGGTTAGGTACATTAAATTAAAAGACGGGAGTTAATACAATATTTTAATAGTTTTTGTAATATTTCAATCTATACAGATTGGCATAGCCCTTGTTATTTCCTAGAGCCATATAACCACTATTAGGAGAGAAGTTTATAGTTTGTACTTTGGATAAGACTTTTGTATGTGGAGGAAAGTTGACAAACACATGGTAAGAAGGAATATGGATCAATTTTACAGCATCTGGAATTACATTTGAAGATGCAGAAAGAATTTCTGTTGTTGCATTAAATTTAAGACAAGATATCTTGGTTGTCAAGTTGCTAATTGTTTTTAAAGGCAATGGTTCATAGGTTTCCAGTTTTGTTGTGTCATAAATGTTAACAATCCCTTCTTGACTGCCCGTTGCCAACAACTTTCCACAAGGACTGACAGCTAGACAAGAAGCATTTACACACCCATTGTCATAGAATTTTTTCAACGCTCTGAATGTAGACAAATCCCAGATAGTGATTTCGCCTTGTTTGCAGTAACAATACAGCTGTTCACTGTCATGACTGAAAGTTAAAGATTCAACATTGGAGTTATGCTTCAGAGTTCTTAAAAGTTCTTTTGATGATGTACTAATCAAGTATATTTCGTCAAATCCAGTAGAAGTTGCAATGTACTTTCCATCAGGTGATAGCTTGAACAATTTTGGCCGCTTAACAATACGGGGAAGTTGTACCAATTTGGGCTCAGCTTTCACAAGGTCATAAACACAGTAACTATGGTTAAGTTCTGTAGCCAAGAATGCTTCTGACCCACTGGGATTAAATTGCGCTGACATTGTTTTCCAGTTTTTGAGTTGAAAACTATGCAATTTCTCATTGACATCTCCACCAACTGATAACAGAGACACTATACCAGCATTTCCTGATACAAGTGCAACACTTAGTTTGGGGTGGAAATCAATACAAGATATAATTCTTCCTTCATTCCTGGTTTCTGAATTAATTTTAGGTAATAATTTCATATCTAACATTTTATTTGGGAGATTAAATGTTTTACTTTTTCTCATATGACCAACAGTTCTCAGAATTCCATCATCATCATCATTACCTTCTTCTAATTTCGGTTCTGTTAGCTTTGCCCAATTTGGTGTTCCCATTAAACTTTCGTATTTTTGCTTGAGATTTTCAGTCTTTGTTTTAGCGCTGAATTGATGGTCATCCTCATCTATCCACACAGGTTTACGGTCCACATCAGGTTTTGGTTCATCGGATGGTGTAGTTTTCAACTTATCCACCAAATCTTTTGACTTGTTGAACAACAGCTTTGATAACCTAAAAAAATAACAGAATAATTATGGCAGTTGTAGTGAATTGTTATTTTATGATGAAATCGGACAATTATGTATCTTTTTGAATAAGCTCCAGAAAGTAATAATCGGTAAGAATTTTGGATAGTCATAAAATAACCTAAAAGTATGTCATCTAAAACATTAATATACCTTGATTCTTCATCGTTGATGCTGGATAATTTTCTTTTCATTTTATCTAGATGAATATGGCTTCGATAATAGATAAAGCCAACTAATTTCCAATCTTGAAATCACCACACCACCATGCGTATTTCTCGCCCACAAGCCACAACAACAACAACTTTTTTTTCTCGAAACTGTCAAAAAAGTGTCAATCATTGACAGTTAGTGCCTCTAGGGATGTAAATTACTGAAAATTATCGATAGCGATAATTTTTTCTTTATGTTATAATCGATATAATCTCATTAAAAAAATAATTAAATCTTTATTCACATACCCCCAGCATGCTCCATGTATCCCCTAGACAAGTTGCACTTTTTGATCGCTTTAAAAATCGAATCCCTTCACGGAGAGAAGAGCGTGCCAACTGTTGTTTTGCTACTGCTATTAGGGGCTAGTGTTCGATCATCATCATCATCTTTTTTTTTATTTGACAGGAGGCCATCGATCAGACGGATCACCTGTGTGTGATAGTAAGAGATTACCGTCGCCCATAGACACTCGTAGTCCCAGTATTTCAGCCATAGGACGTCTACTGCTGAACATTAGGCCTCCCCCAATGATTTCCTTATTGATCGATTGGTAGCGGCCTGGGTTGGGTCTAACGCCTTCCTGCTACCTTTATGATGTCGTCGGTCCACCTTGTGGGTGGACGTCTCACGCTGCATTTTCCAGTACGAGGCCGCCACTCCAGAACCTTGCTGCCCCATCGGCCGTCAGTACTGCGTACTATGTGCCCTGCCGATTTACCACTTCAGCTTGCTAATCCGTCGGTGTTGAATATGTTCGATGTTTTTAGAATAATGTCTACATAAGTGCCGGTAAAGATTCTGAGTTATCTGAGTCTTAGATTTTTATTAGTGAATGTTGAATTTTATCTTAGATTCTAAAATATTCAACGTTCAAGTATTAAAACATTTGAAACTGAGAACATGATATTAGTGGTTACTTTAATTTAAATCTTCGGTCAAACCAACGCGATCACACGCGATCAGCCGGCGTACAGCGATGGCGACCAATGAATTTAAGTCTGAGCCCCGATTACGGTAATTTTTAACGTCAACAATCCAGACACGCTTCTCGATTCTGCGATACGATTGGTCGTTCAACAGCGTACGTCAGCTGTTTTGACCAATCGTATCGCAGAATCAGAAACGCGTCTGGATTGTAGACGTTATAAAAGTTACCGTAATCGGGGCTCTGATCGCCATCGCTGCACGTTGGCTGATCGCGTTGGTTTGGCTGAACCTTTTTATGAGTGAGAATTATTAGATTTTGACATAATTATCTGTCAATGTCATGTCAAAAATAACCAATCATGCAGCATTTGGTTTGGACCTCGCGTCTACGTATTGCCATCTGGCGCATTTTTCAATCGCGAAAACCCTCATTGAGCCGAGAACGCTACCACAACGCTACCACGTAAATGCTGCTATTGACACTGACCAAATAATTCTAACTTTGGCTAAATTTTAAACTTTGGATAAAGTTAAAAAAAATAATGTGTTTTTTTTTCGAAATTGGTTACACCTAATTACTATAATTTATTATTTTTTAAGTATAAGTATACTTTTAAAAATGAAATATTTGAAAGTAAATTGTAAAAAGTTGTGTTCATTTATATGCAAATTATATAATTGAAGTTATAGGTAAAACGTGATTTATACAAAATGAAAAAGGTTAATAGTGTTTCTTAATATTTGGCTTCTGGGTCCATATTCGGTTGCATAAAAAATATTGTCATAATTTAAGAGTGATTTATAAATTACACTCTAGTATAGGGCAGACTAGTACCACGTGGAAGAGACCACGGCCAGTCGGGATCTACATAATTCCAGACCAGGCAAGCTTATTGTTGTAAAAGAAATGTGGACTGTATAATATGTGCGTTATAATAGATAAGAGGGATTTGAGATCAAACAGAATGTATTTTCACGAGCTCAAGTTTTCTAAGAGTCAGGTCAAAAATTAAGAACAAAAATGACAATGACACAGAGAATTTAGTTTTTACAAATCTACAGGCCGAAAGAGTATAAAGGTGGAAGGAGGATCGTTCGCAACATCACAAATACATAATAATTTACTCTTCAATGTTGGTTGCTCTTATAGACAATATGACTTTAAATTTTATAAATAATTACATTATGTTTATCGTATTTTATTAAAAACAAACTTTAGGAATATAAAAATTATGTTCTTTACATTTATGATTATTTAAATTGTGGTATTGAAAATTAGGGAAAGTTATTATTATTCGGCATGTGACGATGCACAGCATCTGGTGAGAGATGCGTCTACTTCCGGTGTAGTTTTTTACCATTTTATACCTCAAATGACGTCATTTCCGCAATTATTTAATAGGAATTGATTTGACTTACTTCCGTTTGCCGCCATCTTAGTCACCTGGGGGCGAGCTTGCTCGGAGTTCTTCATAGCGTCTTTAACTTCCAAACTAGCAACATCGTGAGCAGAAACTCTGCTCAGATTTTTACTGAAATAATTTATTTCTCAACGTTCTTATACTAAGTTTAAAATTAAAAAGTGCAATAGACCGCGCGTGTGTGACCGCGAACAACATGTACGTGATGGTGGTTGGCGCCAAAGGGGACGAGTGTCTTCCGGACGACGAGCAGGTGGACCCAGAGCGTCGGATACCGGAGAAACTCGGACCCCGGCGAGATTCAAAACGGATGAAACGAGGTACGTGGTATTGTGATAGCTTTAACACTCTTTTCGATCAAATGAGCATTCTCGCGAATCTCTATATTGTATAAATAGATTGAATAACGTACCCACAACCATCTTATACAATTTTAACGGCGGCCCCGTCAGCCCCAATCGCAAACATTACCAATCAAAATACGTTGTTAGCATCACCACAATCTAACGATAACTCTTTCTGGTACGAGTTTCTTAACAAATATCCATTTAAAAAGGCTCATTGTGCTCATAAAATAAAGCACCTACAAATGCTTTACCACATCATCAAAGCACTTTAAACTACAACTATTAGTAGACTGGGTGGCCACCCCCAACACTGAGCCAGCTTACAGCTTGAATTATTAAATTCGAATGTTTTTTGCAAATCAAGAAGCTTAATAAGTATGACAAAATGTGCTAAGTGCATCGAACATGTATACTTCTATTTTGCAACAACATATAAATTGTAATGTGACATGCAATAAACGTTTTTGAATTTGAATTTGAACATGTCACGATTCGATACTTACTACCCATGAATGCAGTATGATTGTTCCTTACTGCGTTTATCAGTAGTTTTCGTTACTTACGGTACATGTGTTAAATGACTGATTTAAATTTTTGTTCTTACAACGTAATATATGCGCCGTATCTTTACAACTTACTGCATTTATGAGTGGGAGTGTGAATCAAAATAATTTATCAAAACTTTAAATGCGCAGTAATTATACAATTATACTGCGTTTATCATAAGCCAATAACGCTTTCATGTTGAACTTTCCCAAATGACCAAGGGGTAAATGAAACAAGTATTACAAAATAATTGCTGAGATCGCTTGTTATTCAATCAAAAATTAAGATATGGCACCCACTTTTAGATCTTAAATATACCAATCTAATAAAATAAAGACTCGGTCGTTCTTTTCAGCCGAAAGACGTCCACTGCTGGACAGCGGCCTCCCCCAAGGATTTCCACAAAGACCGGTCCTGTGCCGCTCGCATACAGGAACCTGACGCGACCTTCACCAGATCATCGGTCCACCTAGTGTGAGGCTTGCCCAAGCTGCGTCTTCTAGCTCATGGTCGCCACTCAAGAAATTTCCTGCCCCAGCGGCCATCAGACAACTAAACATACAAAAGTACAAACCCTCCTACTTTGTGATATTAGTGCTGCTCTCACTGGGCATTTAGAACAAAACATGTTAATACCCTGAAATTAATCATGTTCTAATCTAGTTCTGTTACAGAAACTCGAAAACTTTCATCACATAGCGCCATTGGTAAGTAGTCACCAGGAGCTAATAAACAAGTCTCTCACCAGATGCTGTGCATCGTCACATGCCGAATAATAGTACAAGTTTTACAAAACAATAAAACTTGTATTATTGAGCAGAGACGATGCACAGCATCCCAAGAAGGCCTCCTGGTGAGCTCTCTATGAAGAACTCCGAGCAAGCTCGCCCCCAGGTGACTAAGATGGCGGCAAACGGAAGTAAGTCAAATCAATTCCTATTAAATAATTGCGGAAATGACGTCATTTGAGGTATAAAATGGTAAAAAACTACACCGGAAGTAGACGCATCTCTCACCAGATGCTGTGCATCGTCTCTGCTCAATAATACAAGTTTTATTGTTTTGTAAAACTTGTACTATTATGCCTAAGAAACCATTATGCATTTAGAAAACAATGCATATCAGAGTTTATGCGAAAAAACTTTATGCAAATACTGTTATGCCAAACTAAATTATGATGAAAAATGTTATGCGTCTGAGAGGGAAGGGAACCCTTGGCTTCTTACCCTTATCAACACTTGTATGTATTGAAATCAATCAAGAAGAATATACTTATCGATGTTTTGTAACATCCTTATAGACACCATTGTCACTGAAATCTGGCCAAAGGAAGGAGAGTCTTTGAAAAAGGTTCTTCCAAAAAGATTTTCCAACTCCAAGTCCAACCATAGATAATTATTTACTTTCTATTTTTATAAATGGCAACAAAAAAGTCGGTAAAACAGTTCGTGTCAAACATTTACACCAATGTAAACTAGATAGCGCTAGTATCGATATTGCATCTCTGTCACTCTTTTCGATACGGTGTGTAGGTTTTTGAAGAATTCAATCTACTTCTCGTCGTGTAATAAGCCTCAATTTCTTCTTTCATTTGATAATCGCAGTGTTTCACATTGTAAGCATCATCTCCGGAATTGTGCAAAACATTTTATAAGTAAAAGTGGGATTTATATTTTTAATGAACTTCGGTAATCAGTGATTGAATCAAAACAATGTTTTTGTGTGAAATAAGCAAGTGAAGAAAGATGAAGCGAACATTATTCATACTGTGACCTTTTCACACCGTCAGGAGCATTTTATATCATGATGGGCCCTATAAGAATAATTAAATTCCAATAGTAAGAAACAAATCGTGCGCTACCAGTTTTATTGCCAGGTACTAAAGCTTTACAATGGGTCCGAAAAGGGCTCCGCCATAAAATTATCACTGTCAGGCTTCGAGGGTCATCGTAAAACTAATAGACAGTTGATGACTTCGATTCCTAAAAACTCAGCAGAGAATGTCGCAACGGCCCCGGAGCGCCGGGTGGACGACAAGCGATGATCGGAGGGTCGAAAGCGATGCCAGGTGTAGTCCCGTACGGTCCGGCACAGGATCGCGTCTCGGTGCGTTCAGCTAGTGAGCAGCCGGCTTACTCGGCGTGTGATGTGTCTGCGCGATGTCAGGCAAGCCCGCCAGTGTGGGCGCGTCGCGAGCAGGCGTGCCCGGCGCCCCGGCGCGCGTGCTGGTGTACGTGGCGGACCCGCGCCAGCTAGAGCCCGGCGCCGCGGCGTCTGAGCCGCCCGCCGCGCCGCCGCCCTCGCCCCTCGACGCGCTCTACCTGCCCGACCCGCACCAGCTCGCCGTGCCCCGGAACGCCCTCTACAGGACCCAGGTCGACTGCAGTGAGCAGAGGAACCGATCCAACGCTGTCTTCTACAAATCTGCCAATGATGTCGATGGGAAACTCGGTGTGTTCGGTTCCCCTGACAACGTTCCCCATCGTCCTGACTTCTTGCAGATACCGCAATTTCTAAAAGACCAAAATTTAAAAGTTGACGATGTTAAAGTGAATGAACACACAGGAAATCTAAACATTAAAACTGACTGTGTAAATTCAGTGAGTGCGGTTGAATCGTTTCAATCTAGGGTGACTTTGGAAGGAGGTGATTTGGCTACATATCAAAGATGTGCTGGCCAGTTAGGTCCCGATAGTGCTATGCCCTCTATGCATCAAGTGGCGCTGCAGCACGGCCACAACCAGTTCAGTGAAAGTGTCACGGTGCAGGCCAGTGGTGACGGTTCAAACTCTGGTGACCGAGAGTTGTCGAGAAGTTATGTGAACTATCAAGTTTTAGAACAAAGTGTATCTCACCAGTCAATAGTGAATCAAAGTATAAGTATATTGAATCAGCAAGTGGGAGTGAGTAGAGGAATTGCTAGTGAAGGTGACAGTGGGCCCACTCCTCAGCTGGTTCGGACTGCAGACGGAGTAGTGTTGGCAGTATTACCATCGTCTGTCCTACCTCAAGCTGTCGACAGCACTGATCTCAACACCAGGACTGTGCCCTCTGATTCTCCACAGACTATTATTGTGCCTTTGGGTTGGAGGAGAATCATAAATGGAACATCAGTACTCTACATCAGGTAATTAAAATTTATCTTTTTTGATTTTTTCTTATTTATTTTAATTAAATTTTTATTATCTTCAAATTCAATTATGTATATTTCCTGATGTTTAGTATGGAAAATTAATATGCAGACTAATTTTTCTACAAACTGCAGAAATAATACATAGAAACATATTGTTCTTTTAACACAGAGGATACCTAAACCACAAACAGTTTTCATTATTGCATTATCATCAAATTACACACAGGATACTATGTTTTTCATCCAATTATTGTTAGAATAGGCCGAATACTATGTTTTTTTTTATACAGTATGTCCATTAAATGTGATCCTAGCTAAATCTCTTTTGAAAGAAAAATTGTAAATTATAATTGAAATAATGAGTGCTAGTATTTCTTAAATTGCTGGCTTTTTTGGAGCAATATCGCATCGTTAAACATATCTACCATTGTAATTTGTAGCATACAAATACTAACAATAACTTGGAGGCCCTGTAATTATCGTATTAACATTTTTACTGGGTTAATTTAAGAATCATCATCATACGTCGCTAAAAGTTTACCCCTAGGCAAGGGGTATAGATTAGAGATGAAACGGATAGTTGTTTGGCCGGATACCGGATACCGGATATCCGGCCAGCTGCTAGGCCGGGTAGCCGGATATCCGGCGGCCGGATAGTTGGCCCATTGTCTCGTTGCATGTCGTGACGAGTTTAGCGCCGCACAGGTGCTTCGAACGCGATCAGTGGGTCTATTAGTAGACTAGACTAGTCACACTTTTCGAAAATCGAATCCGTCCGAATAGAATGTCAGATTTTGCCACTTGTCTTGGGGGCAGAACAATTCGGCCGATTTCGGTTGCTATCGTGAGTGTGTGATTGAATAGCGAAAATAAAATTAGTTTACTTGTTGCGTAATCTGACTGAACTGCATGCATCATGTCATCAGACCATCAGTGAAAAAAAGATCGCCTTTTTTATTTGGCAATATTTTGTTTGACATTAACAGATTTACTACTTTATGTATTCGTCATTAGAGTGAATTTATTTATTTAAACTTTTATGCCAAAACAAATTTGTACATAAGGCGAACTTAATGCACTAAAGCATTCTCGACCAGTTTACCTTTGGGTTGAGCAGAAAAGAAATTTGTTTGGCGGTACTTCTAGTGCAGGAAAGAAAAACAAAAACAAATATGCTACATACATAGATAATACAGGGTGGAATTTTGTAATGCCACCTGGAGGGAAAGTACTCTTAATATTGTAGATAGAAAATTTTACTGAAAGAAAACATTCCTTTATTTTTGAAAAGAAAAAGAACTGTATTCAAAGATTCTCAAAATTTTTTGGAAAATTCACTACCATGCCATACAATTTTCTGTACATAATTTAATAAAATAATTTAAGATTTCATGGTTTTCCTTTTCATTTGATTTATCAAGTTTGTTAGAGAGATTTCATCCTTATACTTAACCCTAACGATCGATGTAATAAAAATACGGGGTGTAATTTTTAACAGATTTTAGTTGGTTCGATTCCCGGGTGTGGCAAGCAAATTTTTTCAAATCTTTGAATGCAGTTCTATTTCTTTTCAAAAATAAAGGAATGTTTTCTTTGAGAAAAATTTTCTATCTACAATATTAGGGTACTTTCCCTCCAGGTGGCGTTACAAAATTCCACCCTATATATAAAATATCTAATAAATAAATACATACATAAAATAGATGATTGAGTTAAACTGAAATTACAATTCATGAAGATGAAATCATGTGAAGGAAGTGATTATGGACAGATTTTTTAAAAGAAAACTTACTAGACGCTTGCCTGGTCTCTTCAGGCAGAGAGTTCCAGAGCCTTATGGCCCAGATATGAATAGCCCAGAAAAAGAAATTAGTTTTTTGAAAGGCCTTAATATGGCTTTTTTGTAACTTTTTGGACTTTAAATAAAAGCCGTCATTATTATAAGCCATTTTATTGATATTTACCTCAAAGATTAATGTATTTCATTTTATTATAGGAAATTGTCGTAGTTTTTTAATATCCGGTATCCGGCCGGATAGTGAGTTACTATCCGGTATCCGGCCGTATAGTAAATTTAGGCCGGATATCCGGCCTACCGGATAGTTACCGGATATCCGTTTCATCTCTAGTATAGATTACCCTAGGTCACGAAACCGGCATGCGATATAATATAGGTACAGTAGAATCTCGATTATCCGGACTTCGATTATCCGGATATCCGATTATCCGGACTCGTATTTCACGGCTCTAATTACCGATTTAGGACCTGGACCCATCACCACAGTACGGCACCGCCTCTGATACGGCTCGGCGCCGCCACCGTAACACGGTACGGACGTCGTCTTGGTTAATTGTTAAAAGAAATGGATCCACTCAATGGTCTAAATGTCGTTTGTAAACGTCGTCTTTTCTATAGTAAAAAGTTAATTATTATTTAATTTTACTTTGAAATCGATTATCCGGAACACCCCTGGTTTTAATTGATCCGGATAATCGAGATTCTACTGTACTACAATTATTCTCTCTTATAGTCATTGAAAACCGTTTTCCCCACGCGTCATAACTAAATAGGCCTGCCAAACTTTAACGCAAAGTGATACACTGTACCGTTACTCTTTAAAAAATCATGATGCGTACGCAATACGACAATATTCACGCAATTCCCGATTAAAATTGTGACCATCAAAGTTTTAAATTCTATTTGGAATCCAATTAAAGTTAAGGCTTGATAAAAGCGGTTATAAAAAGTATATATTTTATGTCTTAACAATCAATGCTCAGATAGTTAAGCAGTAATGAAGTACCCGGAGGAACACGGCGGTGAACGAGTGCGCAGATCGTGCGTTAACGTTAAATCAATCCGGCGCAAGTGGACAAACCAGTCGGGCAGCTGTGCAGACGCAGCCCGATGCAAGTGACGAAAGACAAAAACTACGCGATACCTACCAAACACACTTACTTACTACTTTTACATTTTGAAATATTATTGTAAATAACGATTACTTGCATAAACTCATTTTACGGCGATTTTTAAAAATTTATTATTATTATTCTTTTAAAATAAAAACTAATAATTTGATAACGAAACATACCAATTCATTTGGGCACATTTTAACCAAGACGAACCAAATACATATTTCTAAAAAAAGGATTTATTTAAAACTGGCTCTATTAAATGTATTAGCGCAGTTTCAATTGATGCAATGTTGCAAAATGTGAATTTTTACATTGAACTTTTAAGTCTTGCAGTTTGTTTTAATCTCGTTAGAATGTTTTACGTTTTATCGCGTCATTTAAATAACCCTAGCGGTGTAGGGCGAGGCGAAGCGATTCCATTGTTGTGGGTCGCTTGTACTCATTACGCGGTTCCTTCTTATCTGTCATTGGCAGTACAATGCCGAAGCCGTACTATATTGCAGCTCACGCACCTTGGGCGGCCGAGCCAGACTTCGTTATTATAATTATGATACTCAACAATCTTATTTACTGTTTCCCTTTTACAGGTGACTAAACAGTCAAATACAATGAAACGAGATTACTCATCAAGCTCTAGATTTTTACGACATGATTGATTGGGTGAAAGAAACCCCATAAAGGGTTAAATAAAATCATCCTGATTTTTATTATTTGCTTATTTAATATGAATTTACGTAAGACAGTCTTACCAATCTGTTGAATCTGGTGTTAGGATGCATAGCATACTTGCAATACCGGGTTGATAAAGTTTGAGGGTTTTAAGCTCAGCAGCTGATCTAACAATTGAAACCAGTTGAATGTCACCCTGTCACCTGCTCATGTCATTGCGCTAACTAAAAGCTGCTGTACTGATTTATGGCTCAGCCTTGTACAAATGCAGATGATACAGTGAACAAAGTAAGCTTGTTTTCTTTCGAAAGTCGCATAAACACTTGGATTTCTCTGGCCTCCTTTGTGATGAGTTGCACAATGTTGGGATCGTCCGTCTTTAAAAGCGTACGGGCCGTCTCAATTGTTTCGACAGATTCGATGGGCGTCACCCATACGCTCTGATCCGATTTACAATTCGTTCCGACTTTCTTTACAAGGCAGACAATGGCTTTCAACCATAGTTTTCAATGCCCTAAGTAGCCACCCGTGGTGTAAAATTCTTTATTTAGCTTTAGGGTCCGTCATAAATTTTAACCTCGGTGACATCTATACAGTGACGTAACTTACCTACACTACATCTTATTTATGTGCTTTTTTATGGATGTCGACATCCCCATCTGCCAACGCCGCCGCTGAAGAAATCACGGAAGTGCTGCGTAAGAGTATAACTAAACTAGATTTCTTCATAAAACTGAGACGAACCTGGTACCGTCAAAAACTACGATTTTCACACGACCCCTTTCTACCTAAGAATATCCAGAATTTTATGGTTTTGTGCGGGTGCCGGCATTGTATTCCAAAGCGAAATTTATGGACTTTACTTAGGTCGATGGCAGTCAGTAAAACTTTACAATGTCCCTAATTTGAGATTTACAGTCCCATTCAATGATGAATGGCTATTGTGAAATGTAATATGGAGCCCGCTATAAAACAAAGTTGGAAAATATAATATTAACACAATATGTTTTGAGATTATGATATATTTTTGTCGTGGAGCATGACAAAAATATATCATATGTATTAAATATTTAGACAAGTAACATAAAAAGCCACAAGAAACAAAGCTGACTTGCGAGTTTTTACGTAATTTTATTTTACTGACTTTGAATCTTATCTTGATTGTAATTAATCATAATTTCTTTAGAAATTCTTTCTACGAAATAATAACATATTATCACCAGACTGGCTTTCTCACTTTTCATTAAACAAATCAAACAGTGGTGTGGTGTATCAGAAAGACAACAATCGGCCAAGAAGGTGATTTGGTAGATAAATCAATCGGAAAGCAATAGAAAAAATGTCATTAAATAAATTAAATTAAAGTAAGTGGGATACTGTTGTGTCCTGTTGCTGTTTTGTTGTTCAAT